ACCGCAGTCTCTGGTGGATAGCAGGGGCGAATGGCACTTGCGAGAGTAGTTTGAGATGTGAAAAAGCATACACAGTGGCCTCTGGTTGATTCGCGAAAAACAAAAGCTGCAAAATAACGTAGTTCCTGGTACGTATTTAGCACTCTCCAGAAATGTATATAGGGGTACATATTCAGAACGAACCTGGGTTGAACATTGCAATGACAAATGTTAAGCGTTTTCAAATATAGCTCCTGGTCGATAATAATAGCAGTTTTGAGACGTGACTATTGCAGATGCGTATATTGCGATATCGATGCTGAAACCATATGTTGTGCAGCCCTAATAAGCATGCATAATCTCATTCACATGTCACGTCATGATTATAAAGGTTTAATGAACAGCCCTTTAATTAAAGTGTTACCAAATTTTATTGTGTGTTTAAAAAAAAATAATAGGTTTATCCGAGGAGATGCAAAATAAACCCACAACATAACAGTGTGCCAGACTAGCTGAGCTGGAACAGTAAAGTAGATTAAGCACAGTTGAGCTGAGTTCAGATGGACATTAGTGCCGCTGATAATGTGATAAATCTTCCCTTTCACTTGATTTCTGCACCATGAGCCAACACGTTCACCACATCAATGACTCACGCTTTATTACTGCCATTGTTTGAGGCAGAAAAAAAAGAGTTGAGGTCATGGAAAGACGCTCTCACTCAAGTTAATTGTCTGCGCTGTGAAATGATCTGTCTGATTTAAGCACAGAGATCAGAGAAACGTCTCTCTCTCTGGTCTGACGTTGCACAGCTCCTGTCTTTGTTAGTCACGTTGAGAGTCTGTAGCTAGAGCTGTGGTGAAAAGCAGCCTGTGTTTATCTTTAAATAGAGTCTGTGGTCTGAAAGCTTTCACACCTGGTTTTGCCTTGATCATATCTAAGCTCAGCCTCTAAGAGCGAAGCATAGGTGAGTCTCAATAAACCTGTCAAGGCCACAGCGGAGTCATGTTTCAGCTCAATATAAGAGTTCTGAATTGTACTTATTGCTTTTGTTTTTTATTGTGATATCCTGATTAAAATATGAGGATGTTTTATGATGTATTTGATTAGATTTATATTCATCTGTATTCATCTTGACATGTTTAGAGTTTTTTTAATGATAAATAGTAACAAGATTATGTTGTGAGATGCTCTGATGTATGCTTTAGAGAGTGGCATTTTTGAATTAAGAACGGAAGAAGGAAAGACAGGTGAAAGAAAGGAAGGATAGAAGGCTGGAAGGAAAACGAAAGAAATACAAAAGAAAGAAAGACAAAAGAAGAAAAGAAAGAAAGATCAAAAAAAGAAAAATCAAAAGAAAGGAAGGAAAGAAAGAAAGCAAGACCAAATAAAGAAAAAGGAAAGAAAGAAGGAGGAGAGATAGAGAGACTAAATAAAGATGAAAGAAAGACTAAAGTAAAAAAGGAGAAAGAAAAAAGATTAAAAAGAAGGGAAGAAAGGAAAAAGAAAAGCAAAAGAGATGAAAATGAGATGAAAAGAAAGAAAGAAAGAAAGAAAGAAAGGAGAGAAAGAAAAAAGGAAAGATGTAAGGAAGGAAAAAGAAAGACAAAAGCAGGAGAGAAGGAAAGACAAATGAACGAATGAAAGAAAGAAAGAAAGAAAGAAAGAAAGAAAGAAAGAAAGAAAGAAAGAAAGAAAGAAAGAAAGAACGAAAAAGAAAGATAAAAGAAGGAGGGAAGGATGGAAAGAAAGACAAAAAAGATGAAACATGAAAAAAATGAAGGAAGGAAGAAAGGAAAAAGAAAGAAAGAAAGAGAAAGAAAGAAAGAAAGAAAGAAAGGAGAGAAAGAAAAAAGGAAAGATGTAAGGAAGGAAAAAGAAAGACAAAGGAAAGAGAGAAGGAAAGACAAAGAAAAGAAACAAACAAACAAACAAAAATTAAAAAGGAAGGAAGAAAGAAGGAGCGAAAAAGAGGGAAAGATGTAAGGAAGGAAAAAGAAAGACAAAAGAAGGAGAGAAGACGAAAAAGAGAAAAGAAAAGAAACAAACACAAACAAAAATGAAAACAGTAGGAAGGAAGAAGGAGAAAGAAAGAAAGAAAGAAAGAAAGAAAGAAAGACAGACAGACAGACAGACAGACAGACAGACAGAGATAGATAGATAGATAGATAGATAGATAGATAGATAGATAGATAGATAGATAGATAGATAGATAGATAGATAGATAGATAGATAGATAGATAGATAGATAAACCGACAGACAAACGGACAGACAGATAGATAGACAGACGGACAGATAGATAGATAGATAGACAGGCAGACAGACAGACAGACAGACAGACGGACGGACGGACAGACAGACAGACAGACAGACAGACAGACAGACAGACAGACAGATAGATAGATAGATAGATAGATAGATAGATAGATAGATAGATAGATAGATAGATAGATAGATAGATAGATAGATAGATAATAGATAGATAGATAGATAGATAGATAGATAGATAGATAATAGATAGATAGATAGATAGATAGATAGATAGATAGATAGATAGATAGATAGATAATAGATAGATAGATAGATACATAGATAGATAGATAGATAGATAGATAGATAGATAGATAGATAGATAGATAGATAGATAGATAGATAGATAGATAGATAGATAGATAGATAGATAGATAGATAAACCGACAGACAAACGGACAGACAGATAGATAGACAGACGGACAGACAAATAGATGGACAGACAGACAGACAGACAGACAGATAGATAGATAGATAGCAGGCAGACAGACAGACAGACGGACGGACGGACGGACGGACGGACAGACAGACAGACAGACAGACAGACAGACAGACAGACAGACAGACAGACAGACAGACAGACAGACAGACAGACAGACAGACAGATAGATAGATAGATAGATAGATAGATAGATAGATAGATAGATAGATAGATAGATATTAGATAGATAGATAGATACATAGATAGATAGATAGACAAATCAATATTTGTTTACCGAAATAAAGATTTAGTTGAAATCGATTAACTTATTAAAATAGTTCAAACCACCAAAAGTATTGATGTAAACAGCGTTGAAACCCTTTTTCTTAGAATTATATCTTTTAAAAAAGTCTTATAGTCCAGCTAATCTCTAGACGAGGCTGATACATGAGAGCACATTGTTATTGTAGCGCTGGTGGTCTGAAAGACTCTTAATCCATTGATTATCTCCTCTTGGGCGGTTCAGTCATCAGACACTCGTGATAGTTCACACAGTCATGATGGCCAGCTCTGAGACAGCACTTCTTTCTAGAGGAGATTTCCCTGCTGCTTAGTCAAGTACGGTCAAGTGCTCCGGCCAGTCCTCCAAATACAGTCAATAAAACATGCTCCGAGTATGCGCTGTAAATCAAACACTGTATACTGTTGTTTTTAATTGTTAAGTGGAAGATATGTTAGCTAAAATAAAAATAGAGAGAGAACATTTATATAGATGCAACGTCATTATCATTTCTCATTTTAAATCACTCTGAAGTACTAAAAAAATGTATGAAATTGACAAGTGTAAATTCCCCATTCTCCACCATTTACTCCAGTCACTGGTATGGTGGATATTCTGCAAGCAGTTATATCAGCCTGATCTCACGAGAAAACGTAAGTATTTTACGTTTTGGCAGTTTAGTGGCTAATTCATACGAATTCGTACGAGTTCAGTCGTAAGAAAATGTTCGATTTTAAAAAGGAGGCGTGGCACCTAACCCCACCCCTAAACCCAACCGTCATTGGGGGATACGCAAATCGTACTAAAATGTACGAATTTGTACGAATTAGCCACTAAATGAAAAAGTTACGAATTGCCGTGAGATTGTACGAATTGCCGTGAGATTGTGTTGGTTATATTGTTATTGTATTATTGTCACAATCACCAGCGATCGTTGCAGATTGCTGGAGAACTACACATCTGTCGCTGACGTGGACTACAAATACCATCTTGCACCTCACACACACTAGTTCCTGATTCCTCCTGGTTACACAAACTCATCATGGACTGATTCACGCACACAGTGCTGAGTCTTGTTTGTTTTATGTGTACCTGTAACCTTGCGAAGCGTTTTCTTTGTCTAGTCTTACCGTGCCTTTAGATCCTTGCCTTAGGGTCCGTATAGTCACGCAAACACTGGTTTGTAAAGCAAGTAGTTTTCTGCCGTTTAGCATTCCTGGTCGTTTCTCCCATAGGCGACTGAATTTCTAAAATAATCGCCAAAACGAGCACACTTATTGAAGAATAAAGTCAATAGGGGAATTGACGAATTCAATTGGCCATATTGGATGACTGTGTGTATATACGTTTCCCTGTACTGGGTTGTGACTGGAAGGGCTGGATAAGTTGGCGGTTCATTCCACTGTGGTGACCCCTGATGCATAAAGGAACCAAGTGGAAGAAAAATGAATGAACTATTAGCCCCTTTAAAGTTCTTATTCCTGATTGGCTACAAAACAAGTAAAATCATCCAATATCTTGCTTAATTATTCTAACCGTCCTAGTTAACCTAATTACCCTAGTGAAGCCTTTAAATGTCACTTTAAGCTGTATAGAAGTGTCTTGAAGACTATCTAGTCTAATATTATGTGCTGTCATCATGACAAAGATAAAATAAATTATTAGAGATGCGTTATTAAACTGTTATGATTAGAAATGTGCTGGAATAAAATCTCTCGTTAGTACTTGAATAAAACTTGCACTATATGAGTTTGTCCTGGAGTGTTTGTGCTCGTCTTGAATATGAACCTGCAGTGTGTTCTTGCTGTGGGATGATGTCATCGACTTCAAGGTCGCGGGATCCTTCAGTGTGTGTGTGTGTGTGTGTGTGACTGAGGTCTCGTTCTCAACCGCACAAACTCCCCAGACAGAGAAAGACAATTGCTGTTTCCCACACACAGGCTGACACTGTCCACATGCAGCAGCCTCTGCTCTCACTGTCATTAATCCTGCACTGTGTGCTTTTACACTCCAATTCTGACTTTCTGTTGTATTTCTGTGTTTATGTGTGCGTGCATGTGTGTGTAACATGAAGTGACGCTGGACAAGGGAAGTGGGGATCCAAATGCAGCGTTTATTAACAGGAATGGTCAGGCAAGCAAAACAGATGTATGCAGGAAAACCTCCAGAGTTGGAGTCACATGCACAGGCAGATGGCCAGAAGGCAGGCAGCAGACAGGGGTAAACAGATAAACAAGGCGAGGATCAAAACATGGCAAGGCAAGACAAAGGAAACTGCGTCGTGATGTTCCCTAACAGTTCAACAAGACTCAAAGTGAGCCGTATATATGTGTGTGTAATCAGTACTTGAGCAGCAGCAGCTGTGTGTTTGCGGTTGTGTGTGTGTGTGTATGTGTGTGTGGTGCACGACTGGGGTTTCTCAATTCCAAGAACCCAGAGAACAGACTTGTGTTCTTGTGGAAACCGGTTTTGCCAGGTGTCCATGGAAGAATGAACTCAGGAGACCACAAGAACAGAGAATGCGTCCTGTGAGAAATGAGATGCTGCATTCTTCCTGATGGTCATGTGACCTTCACACGTTTTTAATGGAAAATTATTTCCAATTTTTCCCCCCTTTTAAAATATATAGGGCCCTATCATACACCCGGCGCAGTGTGGCGGAAGGCGTGACGCAGTAGTCTTTTGGTAGTTTCAGCTTGGCGCAAGAGTCGTTTTGAGGCGTTGCGCTACGCTGTTTAAATAGCAAATGCATTAGCGCTCATGTGCGCCCATAGGCGTTCTGCTCTAAAAAGGAAGGCGTTCTGAGGCGGACCGCTGGCGCGTCGCTATTTTGAGAAACTATAATAGATTTTTCATTAGACCAAAACAAACCCGGTCTAAACTCCAGCGCAGAGTTGCGCCTCGCTTACACACTGCTTAATACACACAAGAGAGCAATAGGCAAATATCTTTACATATGAAAACATTTAAATATTAAGGATATATAAAGGATATAATAAGAATAGATATAGGATATAAATATAAAGGATTAAAATATTACAAAACATATTATTTTCTAGCCGACATAAATATGAAAAATCACTGCTTTTATGTCTTCTTCATCTCGGGAGGCTTTTTCAGTTCATTCATAACAATTTGCTTTTGTATAATGTTATTATTATTAGCAGTATTATTTATTATATCCATATTTATATTTGTTTTATTAAAAACAAGCTTAGATTTGCCCACCTGTCAGGTTTTAGAGCATATGGGGCACAGCATGTGTTTTAGGATATAACTCAGGTTTTTGAGCACATTTTGTTATTGTTGTTCATTTATTCGTTTGCTGGAAATTAGAACTGAATTTAGAAATAGTTTTGAAACGAATATTTGCGCTTAACAAACAAAATTAATTATTTATAGACTAATTGATGTCTGTGTGTAAAGGTTTCCCTATCCAGGAGCGAAAGTGAAAGTAGATCCATTATCTCTCATTCTCACGCAGTAGATGCTCTGTTTAACTGTTTTCTGTGAACTGTTTGCTTGTGAAATGCTCAGTTTTTACACTTAGACTTACTTTGCGTCCTGTAAATAGCGAATGCGCTCTTGGCGTGACGCAGCTGGCTCTTAAAGGGAATGGGAGATGAGACTCTGATTGGTTTATTCTCAAAACACACCTATAACTCATTAAGAAAATAAACTCAACCCTTTTAGACCATGTGCCACGGCGCAAAGCAGATTTTCCCGTCCTTAAATTAGCAAAAACGCGTTCTGACACGCCCTGAAAGCGTTTGCGCCCTGCGTTTTGCGCTCTGCGCATGGACCGTCAAAATAGAGCCCATACTATGCATAAAAATATCAATATACGTTGCACAATATAAATAAATAAAACACTTGATGTGTTTATTCCTTTATTAGGATGTCCATGGTGATGTTTATATTCACCGTTTCATTTAGGGAAACTCCTGAGGTAAATAGGTGATGTCACTTTAATAATAAACCTATATAAAACGCTGTGCTTCCCACCTCCAGTCGCAATGACTTCTGGGACTTCTAGAGCGAGATCGGTGTTCAAGTCTGCATCCACGCCTTCTCGATATCAGGATCACATCCGGGAGCTTTATGTCGGTCTTGAGTATTGGAACTGAGCTTTGGCAGCTGACTATGACATTACACGAGAACACGAGGACGCAAGACCGATGAAGAGTGCATATTGAGAAACAGCCTGGGTCTTGTAGTCCATAACTGCGGATTTTTATGTGAACGCGTGTGTGTGCTTCTGTTTGTGTGCATGTGTGTGTGTATGTGAGTGTGTGTGTGAGTGTTTGTCATTCAGACTGTGCTCGTCGTATCTCTGAGTGTTTTTATATTATTATTGCTTTCTTTTCCAGATATTTGTACAAGAATGAAATCCAGGCCATCGACCGGGAAGCGTTTAAGGGTCTCGTCTCTCTCGAGCAACTGTAAGTACATCCTGTTGATTCTTGCTGTTTAGAGAAACTAAAACTATCGGTCAAAAAACCTTTACGGTAACTGAACTGAAATGAATAAGAAAATCACAATAAAAAAAACTACAGCTGATCGAAACCCATTATAACTAATGTAGCAGATTTTGCTAAATCTAAAACCGATTTAGGCCCAATTCTCCCCCTTACGCCCCATTCACACAGGGCTGCAGCGTCAACGCTTGACTGAAGGCGTGTCTGAAGTTGGGGCTGAAGCGATCGTCATAGCAGCGTCAGCCAATGAAATTCAGTCAGCAATAGGCCACTGTCTGAGCTGGTGTATTTGCATACAGCGATCTGATTGGCTGACGCTTCAGTTGGCGATTAAAGTTGAGCTAATCCCAACTTCTGCAGCGAGCAACACTTCTGAAGCGGCGCCGACGGATCCACAATGCAGTTCAGCAACGCCTGACGTCACCCATTCAAAGTGAATGGGAAGCGTTGACGTTAAATGGAGCGTTAGCCCTTCTCCTTATTTGGATGTCCCAATTCTCTTCAGCTTGAAGGCGTAGGGCCTTGGCTGATTTATACTTCTGCAGGCAAAACACTGTGACAACGCTTCAGATGACTGTTCTAGAGCCTACAGCTAATCAATCTGTCAGCTTCTGGAGTGCATTACAGCTCTGAAGACCATTATAATTGTTAAATTATCTTTAAACAAATACACTTATAGATATGGATTAAGTTTACAGTTCTCCTCACCTGGAAAATGGAGGCCACATGAATTTGTGCCATATCATCTGATAATTGGCCACTTAAAAAAGGCAACTGACTGTGTAAAGCCACATAAAACAAAACAAAAATACGATATGTATGCCGAGTTCAGCGGCTAATCAGCCGGAATCAGCTGAGATGAAGTGACGGCGAGCAGCGAGACCTAGCTGTCACTTAAGTTGCCACGCCCTTAATTATGCAGACTGAATAAAACTTAATATAAACAAAATGGATGAGTTATAAAAAATGTACCCCCCTCAGAGTTGTCATGAAGGGTAATATTAGCTATATTCCAGGCCTTTAAACATGTTTTTATCAGCTGTTAAATTGGCCAGTTTACTATTGCAGTCAGTGAACATCTAGAGTTCCTAGAGCCCCCAAAGGCCAGTCGATGAATTGCAGTTTCAGTTACTTCCATATTAGCTTCACGGGGGAAAGCGGGAGGTTTCCGCTTGGTTTAGATGCAGTTCTAGTTCAAACAGTTCTTTATTGTTATTAAAGGGCCATGAAAGCCCCTCGTTTCAGCAGGGTGTTTTCACACCTCTACTTTGGAAAAAGTCAGAAAAGTGGGCGTTTCCAGCTCTGTTTAGGGAGGAGTGTCGGAGGAACTAAAGTGGGATGGTGTGGGAGTGTCTATTTGGGCGCGCGCGAGTTTCAGTCAAAATACACACACATGAGAAAGTGATGATGTTTAACCTACATGGACATCTGTAGTTGAATTATTTGCCAAATTATTAAATGTTGGACTTTAACTGCAGTTTGGCTCTTTCATTCAGGGAATTCATTCATGTCCCTCGCGACAAACGAAATATTTGATTCGAGGATCTGCTCTTAGCGTGTATTTTTCATGCAATGTTTAATACCGCACGGCGAATGAGTGAAAAGAAAACTGCATTTCCCGGAAACTTAGATGCACACGGCAGGTAGCGTCAGAAAGCCGCGTGTGTTATTCCTGTCACAAAATGCGGTGCTATGTTTGCATCAGTGCAATAGTTAACTTAATTCGATACGAACAAACTGAATAAACAAAGAGCACTGGTCACTCACTTACCAAATCTGTAGAGACAGGACAATCACCAGCAACTAGAGCCGCGTCTTTATGAAGAGGAGACTAACGTTACAAGCGAATCCGGATCTCAGCGTTTGCAGATGAGAACAGCTCTCAGGTAAACAATAATCCTCCTTAGACACGTAAGTTATTGTTGTCGCGCGTCGCGTACACTGTTAATCCACACGTGACTCCAGCTGCGCTCTCACAGAGAGAAAATGAAAACGAAACTTAATGGCAGCAAACTATAAAAGCAACACTTCACGCTTGTTTTGCCAACACAACGTGGCGTCTCTGTCGTCTAAACACTGTGACAGTAATGAATATTAATGAAGTTGCACAATAGAGCGCGCTGATTGGTTTGAACCAAGCCTTACTCATGCATTAATGCAGCACACTGTAAGATGTAATAAGACTCACTCTGGCACAGGCGTCCAGTCTGCACGCTGGAATACACGCTATTATGTCATGACCGTGACGCAGCTTCAAAAATTCGTTTCAAACAGGAAGTACGAATTTGCTTGAAATAACGCAAAAACAACCAATTTACACTTTTTAGTGAAATATAGGTGTCCTAATAGTGTTTTTAGCAGTGTGGAACACATATACGACTGTCAACAGCTCAAAAAATGTGCTTTGGTGTTTCGTGACCCTTTAATGGGAAGTTTGACCTCACGTAAACAGCAAGCTCTCTTGGGTCAACACTGGACACATTCTGTCAACTCCACTAAGCTAAATGTATAAACACTAAATAGAAACGTTCTCAAAACTGTTGTTGCTGTTGTGTGTAGTTTCTGAAATCTGCCATTATGTATGGTTTTAATAAGCTGTTCATAAACCTCTCGCTCTCGTCTGGCTGGAGTTCAGATCCTGAAGTAAGAGTTGGGTCTTGCGCACACTTAACCAGTCATCCGTGATTTTAATGGAAAACACCAAATGCGCAGAAACCATATGTCTGGAAAGCTTGTGTGAGCATTTCACAAAAAGCCCTAAAGAATGTCTTATTGCTTATAATTGCTTATAAGCTTGTGTTTGACTTTGCAATTGTAACATAAATTAATAAATTCTTTTTTTCCCATTTAATGTTTTAGTTTAGTTTATTGCAGTAATTTTATTTATTGTAGGGCATCAATTAAAAAGAAAAACAAGAGCATTTTTGATAGATTGCAACCCAATCATAGATGATTTAAAACATAAAATTAGAGTTATTTGTTTTTTTTTTAGTTTTGTGGTAGTTGTGAAAATCTCTGTTAAAGTTAATGTGAAACTTGAGTGTATTAAATTTTTTAATGCTTCTCTTCAGTTTCATCACACATGATTCAGTGTTATAGTAAAACACATTATGCACAACATTTTGTATTAACAGAAATTATGGACCAATGAATGAATGAATGAATAAATACATAAATGAACGAAAAAAAAATGAATAAATAAATAAATACATGAATGAATGAATGAATGAATGAATGAATACAAAAATACATGAACGAAGGAATGAATAAATAAATACATGAATAAATGAATGAATACAAAAATACATAAACGAAGGAATGAATGAATAAATAAATTATACATACATACACGAATGAATGAATGAATGAAAACATAGATAAATATATGAATGAATTAATGAATGAATAAATACATAAATGAACGGAAAAAATACATAAATAAATAAATACATGAATGAATGAATGAATGAATACAAAAATACATGCACGAAGGAATGAATAAATAAATAAATACATGAATGAATGAATACAAAAATACATAAACGAAGGAATGAATGAATAAATAAATTATACATACATACACGAATGAATGAATGAATGAATGAAAACATAGATAANATATATGAATGAATTAATGAATGAGTAAATACATAAATGAACGGAAAAAATACATAAATAAATAAATACATGAATGAATGAATGAATGAATACAAAAATACATGAACGAAGGAATGAATGCATAAATAAATAATACATACATACACAAATGAATGAATGAATGAATAAATGAATGAATGAATGAAAACAGATAAATATATGAATTAATTAATGAATGAATTAATGAATGAATTAATCATGAAAACATGTACACACAAGTGTAAAATGTGAAAAAAAAATGCTGGGTTTGCAAATTGTCAAATATGGATAATATTGACAATGTGAACACATTGTAAACCAATGAATGAACACATAAATATATAAATGAATAAATAAATACATAAACAAATGCATGAATGAATGAATGAATGAATGAATGAATGAATAAATAAGTAAATAAATAAATAAATAAATAAATATGAATCATGAAAAGTGTACACAAAAACTAAAAATTTGTAAAAAAAAAAAAAAAAAAAAAAGGAAAAAAAAGAGAGAGAGAAATAAAAAATGCTGAGTTGGCAAATTCAATGTTGGTTTTTTTCATTCACAAACATTTCTTGACAATGTTTTTGTGAACACATTATGCACCAATGAATGAATGAATGAATGAATAAATCACTTTTTGACAATGTTTTGTGTGAACTGATTTTTTAGACCAAAAAATGAATGACTCTCTCTCTCTCTCTCTCTCTCTCTCTCTCTCTCTCTCTCTCTCTCTCTCTCTCTCTCTCTCTCTCTCTCTCTCTCTGTCTCTCTCTCTCTCTCTCTCTCTCTCTCTCTCTCTCTCTCTCTCTCTCTCTCTCTCTCTCTCTCTCTCTCTCTCTCTCTCTCTCTCTCTCTCTCTCTCTCTCTCTCTCTCTCTCTCTCTCTCTCTCTCTCTCTCTCTCTCTCTCTCTCAGATACCTGCACTTCAATAACATTGAGTCCCTGGAGCCCGAGTCTTTCTCTCATCTGCCCAAGCTGGAGCGCCTGTGAGTTTCACACCTCACTTTATCTCTCAGATCTCTGCCCCACAACACCAGCCTTTTGAAGAAAGATCAAAAAATAGATGTGATGAAATGACGCTGCTAGGCAATGATCAAGTTTGTTTTGAGAGAGGAATTTCCTCTTCACTTTTGTTGTTTTCATAAGAAAATCTTAATCTATATATATAAATATAAATGGATGATTTGGGTATGAAGCTGTTTAATGTGTGTGTTTTAGGTTTCTGCACAACAACAGGATCAGCCATCTTGCTTTAGGGACCTTCTCACACCTGCAGTCCATGAAGAGATTGTGAGTATCACCAGAGTTTATTCCTCTTTTTACTTACAGTCAGTGTTGGTTGTGCTGCATTTTAACCACCAACAATCTATAAACAGATTGTTTGTAGTGCTGGGCAAAAATGAATCGCACGTAATCACATCCAAAGTAAAAGTGAGTTTTGAGCTCATTTAAGTGTGTGTGTTTATATTTATTATGTATATGAATACACACATGCATGAGAATGTTTATTTATATTTAGTTATAAAATATATGTGTATGTGACGTATTATATAGACATTTAAATATCTATGTAACAAGATTTCCTGTTTCTATTACATATACATAATAAATATATATAATACACATATATACACTCACCGGCCACTTTATTAGGTACACCTTACTAGTACACGGTTGGACCCACTTTTGTCTTTAGAACTGTCTTAATCCTTCGTGGCAGAGATTCAACAAGGTACTGGAAATATTTCTCAGAGATTTTGCTCCATATTGACATGATAGTATCACACAGTTCCTGCAGATTTTTCAGCTGCACATCCATGATGCCAATCTCCCGTTCCACCACATCCCAAAGCTGCTCTATTGGATTGAGATCTGGTGACTGTGGAGGCCATTTGAGTACAGTGAACTCATTGTCATGCGTTCATGGTGTTGACATTAAATTCTGAGCCGACCATCTGAATGTGTCAGCAGAAATGGAGACTCATCAGAGCAGCAACGTTTCTCCAATCTTCTATTGTCCAGTTTTGTTGAGTCTGTGTGAATTGTAGCCTCAGTTTCCTGTTCTTAGCTGACAGGAGCGGCACCCGGTGTGGTCTTCTGCTGCTGTAGCCCATCCGCCTCAAGGTTGGACGTGTTGTGTGTTCAGAGATGCTCTTCTGCAGAGCTCGGCTGTAACGAATGCTTATTTAAGTTACTGTTGCCTTTCTATCAGCTGGAACCAGTCTGGCCATTCTCCTCTGACCTCTGGCATCAACAAGGCATTTGCACCCACAGAACTGCCACTCACTGGATATTTCCTCTTTTTCAGACCATTCTCTGTAAACTCTAGAGATGATTGTTCGTGAAAATCTCAGTAGATCAGCAGTTTCTGAAATACTCAGAGCAGCCCGTCTGGCTCCAACAAAAATGCCACGGTCAAAGTCAATTAAATCCCCTTTCTTTCCTCACTTTGAACTGCAGCAGATCGTCTTGACCATGTCGACATGCCTAAATGCATTGAGTTGCTGCCATGTGATTGGCTGATTAAAGTTTTGCATTCTCGAGCAGTTGGACAGGTGTACCTAATAAAGTGGCCGGTGAGTGTATTATGTAAAAACTTTTATTTTGGATGCGCTTAATCGTCTCCCAGCACTAATTTTTTCAAATTGGTTTGTAATCAGATATTTAATGTCGCAATTATTTTAGCTGCATTTATATAATAGTTTTTGTTTTCTTTTTTTTTATTTAAAATTTATAAGTTTTACATTTAAATCTTTTTGTTGTTGTTGTTGTGAGCAATCAAAATGTCATCTAGTGTTACAGTTGTTTATATATAAAAACTATATATATAATTATATATAACAGTATCATATATTGCTTTACCCATAATTTGACCTTTTTATTTTTACAAAAGTTATTTGAATCATGGCGGTTCATTCCGCTGTGGCGAGCCCTGATAAAGCAGGGAATAAGCAGAAGGAAAGTGAGTAAGTATTCGAAACGTTAAATGCTTCACTCAAATAACTTTTATTTTGTAATAGTTATTTATTATTATTATTCGTTTTTTAAAGCATCATTAAACAGCTGTTTATATTTATAGGGTTTAAATGTTTTAATATCCAACTATAAAATGAAGAACATGTAGTTGTTAAGGGTTGATGGTGTTTCAAACCTCAACTAGTCAGTTCTAGGTAGTAAAACATGTTTGCAAAACTCGAGTCAGAGGATCAGTGTGTGTGTGTGTTTGCAGGCGTCTGGACTCTAACGCTCTGCACTGTGACTGTGAGCTGCTGTGGTTGGCTGATCTGCTGAAGCAGTACGCCGAGTCCGGGAACGCTCAAGCCGCCGCCACATGTGACTACCCCAACCGCCTGCAGGGACGATCCGTCGCCACGCTCACAGCGCACGAGCTCAACTGCGGTGAAGACACACACACACATAAACACACATATATAAACACACACATATGAACACACATATATAAACGCACACATATGAACACACACATAAACACACATATATAAACACACACATATGAACACACACATAAACACACATATATAAACACACACATATGAACACACACATATATAAACACACACATATGAACACACACATAAACACACATATATAAATACACACATATGAACACACACATGCACACATATATAAACGCACACATATGAACACACACATACACACATATATAAACACACACATATGAACACACACATAAACACACATATATAAACACACACATATGAACACACACATAAACACACATATATAAACACACACATATGAACACACACATAAACACACATATATAAACACACATATGAACACACTATATAAACACACACATGTGAACACACACATATGTAAACACACAAATATGAACACACATAAACACACACATATATAAACACACACATATGAACACACACATAAACACGCATATAAATACACACATATGAACACACACATAAATACACATATATAAACACACACATATGAACACACACATATATAAACACACACATTTGAACACACACATAAACACACATATATAAACACACACATAAACACACAAATATAAACACACACATATGAACACACACATATATGAACACATACATATGAACACACACATAAACACACATATATAAATACACACATAAACACACATATATAAACACACACATATGAACACACACATATATAAACACACACATATGAACACACACATAAACACACATATATAAATACACACATATGAACACACACATAAACACACATATATAAACACACACATATGAACACACACATATATAAACACACACATATGAACACACACATAAACACACATATATAAATACACACATATGAACACACACATAAACACACATATATGAACACACACATATATAAACACACACATATGAACACACACATAAACACACATATATAAACACACATATGAACACACACATAAACACACATATATAAACACACACATATGAACACACATATATAAACACACACATATAAACACACACATATGTAAACACACACATATGAACACACATATATAAATACACACTTATGAACACACACATAAACACGCATATAAATACACACATATGAACACACACATAAATACACATATATAAACACACACATATGAACACACACATATATAAACACACACATTTGAACACACACATAAACACACAAATATAAACACACACATATGAACACACACATAAACACACATATATAAACACACACATGAACACACACATATATAAATACACACATATGAACACACACATAAACACACATATATAAATACACACATATGAACACACACATAAACACACATATATTAACACACACATATGAACACACACATATATAAACACACACATATGAACACACACATAAACACACATATATAAATACACACATATGAATACACACATAAACTCACATATATAAACACACACATATGAACACACACATAAACACACATATATAAACACACACATATGAACACACACATATATAAACACACACATATGAACACACACATAAACACACATATATAAATACACACATATGAACACACACATAAACACACACATATGAACACACACATATATAAACACACACATATGAATACACACATAAACACACATATAAATACACACATATGAACACACACATAAACACACACATACGAACACACACATAAACACACATATATAAACACACACATAAACACACATATATAAACACACATATATAAACACACACATAAACACACATATATAAACACACACATATGAACACACACATAAACACACATGCTTACAGTGGCTTGTCCTACCGCACTAAACTTTATTTCTTTGCAAATCTCCAAAAATCGCAATTCTATAATTAATTCCCTCCAGGAATTGCGTTTGAGACCTTTGCTTTGGATAGAAGTGCTAGCTTCAGGGTTTTGACAAGCAGAATAACATAATCCCTGCAGCGAATAATCTCTACAGCAGATTTGCCTGGTAAAAAAATGATGTACTCGTTCACAGTGATCAAGCAGACATGTGCTTTCGCCAGTAGAAACAGTTCAGATCAGTATATTTAGCCATGTGCACACTGTGTTGTCGGTGGGTTTGGCATGTAGCCGTTCTGACCAAAACTGACCACAATCACTTCATGCCTGGCCGTCAAACAGCACAGGCAGCCAAACCGGCGGAGAGGAAGTGAAGAAAGCAGGAGAGGCCAAGCACACTGCCACTACAAACAAACCCACAGCGCTGGGACGTCTATAGCTGGAACACATCATGAATGAAACTCACACCTCTGGAATGCTTACCGTATATGTGAACCTGTGTGTCTCTTGTGGAGCAGAAGTGCCCCGGATCACCTCTGAGCCGCAGGATGTGGACGTGACCTCAGGGAACACGGTGTACTTCACATGCCGAGCGGAGGGAAACCCCAAACCACAGATCATCTGGCTGAGGAACAAGTAAGAGTGCGGGCTACATTCACTCCCCGAGGCAGAAATGAGCGGATCCGCTTTGTAGATAATGGAGTATATGCAGAGCTAGTGTTTTTCAGTCAATGATAAACTTCCCGTGGAAGGTTAATGTGACTATTATCGGTTTCATACGGTCAGTGTTGGTGACGCAGTGGCGTAGTAGGTAGTGCTGTCGCCTCACAGCAAAAAGATCGCTGGTTCAAGCCTCGGCTGGGTCAGTTGGTGTTTCTGTGTGGAGTTTGCATGTTCTGCATTCGCGTGGGTTTCCTCGGGGTGCTCCGGTTTCCCCCACAGTCCAAAGACATGCTGTACAGGTGAATTGGGTAGGCTAAATTGTCCGTAGTGTATGAGTGTGAATGAGTGTGTGTGGATGTTTCCCAGAAATGGGTTGCAGCTGGAAGGGCATCCGCTGCGTAAAAACGTGCTGGATAAGTTGGCGGTTCATTCCGCTGTGGCGACCCCAGATTAATAAAGGGACTAAGCCGAAAAGAAGATGAATGAATGAACTGTCAGTGTTAGGGGTAACCTATTACAATTAAAGCACGTTACATAATAATATTTATTTTAATAATTATTAAAGTAATGCATTACTCATTATTCAGAAGTAATATTATTTGAGTTACTTTTTAAAAATGTAACTTCTTACCTAGCTTAATTGGCTTTAACAAAATATATTGCGGAATAAAAATGACCTTAGTCAGGTTGAATCACACACTTGCGCTGCTAGGGAATAGACTCATCATCATTATCATCAGGTCTGTTTTTTCAGATCAATGAGTCAGTGTACTGTTCTAGTAACTGAATAACTCAGGATAGTGGTTTATTTCCTGTCAGAGGGGGTATCCGGTTTGTTAAAACTAAAGATGCAAATCGTTTCACGACATCTACGTTCAATTTAATAAGCTGGTTCGACCGGTCCTGTTTACACTGCCAATTAACTGTGACCCAATTTAGATTTTTTTAAACAAGTGGCACCGATCGGATTTTGTTCTATGACACGAAAAAAACGCATGCATTGTATATTTAGAGATCAGTTTCAGGCCTCCTTCATATGTGGAAATAAATCAGATATAAATCGGATATGTGACAATGCGACTATCACGTAAACAGGCTGATCAGATTTATTAAGGCGTTCCGTTTTGTACATTATTAAACTTGCGAAAATGTTGTCGGCGCCAATAGCCTAGGTGTAAGTGCGTCGACAGATAGCACTGATGTGCTCGCGGTGAGGAGATGCAGTCGAAGGCTGAAAATGGTTGTTAAAAAATTAAGAACTCCTTTTATTTAAGCCGAAATAAAACCAGTAAGACTTTTTCTAGAGGAAAAAATATTATAGGAAATACTGTGGGAAAATTCCTGAATCTGTTGAACATCATTTGGGAAATCTTGGGAAAAGAAAACAAAAATTTACAGGAATAGTTTCGATTTCAACTCTGTAAGTTAACAGGGTTTTGTTTTTGTCTCGTCAGCAATGCTCTGAACATGAGGGATGACACACGGCTCAATCTTCTGGAAGACGGGACGCTGATGATCCAGGACACGCGAGAGACAGACCAGGGCGTCTATCAGTGCATGGCCAAAAACGTGGCCGGAGAAGTGAAGACCTCAGAGGTCACCTTACGCTACTTCAGGTCACCATGTGAGTTCAAGGCCATGGTATTTTCATAAACAGAGTTTTCCCTGCTTTTCGTTTTTTAAAAAAACCTGAACAGAGACTGCCAGTTGTAGTTTCGAAGCAACAGACCGAAAGCCATACCTGCCAACACGTCTCCCGTATTTCAGACCCATCTCCCGCCACCCTCCCGTTTTGTTATTTCTCCCGGAAAACTCTCATAATTTCACCCACTTCTCTTTGTGGTCTGTAACACCCCTGAGTCTCCAACTTTGGTATAGTATCCGATCACAGCGGCCGCCCATTGTACAGTTACTAACACCACAGTACAGTTACTAACCCGGTTCTCAAGAGTGTTATTCAGACACCTCTCTCCCGAACAGCTCCCCCCACTCCCCCTGGTCTCCAGGATATTCAGAGACAAATGTTGGCAGGTATGCTGAAAACGTACCATTAAAACGTCTATGGGCAGTATGTCAAATGTATGTAATGTATGGACACACACACACACACACACAAACACACACAGACCAAGCAGCAGCAGGGCGGAAGATGGCCAGTCACTGAATCTAACATATAGCGGGTTCTCAGCTGTCCGCCACATTTTTTTGACTGTCTGTCTTTATTTCATGCACTGTTTGTGTCATCTGTGGCTCAAGTGACGCCCTTCTGTATTTAGCTTTTTGCATGTATGGTGGCTCAGAACTGTCAAAACACCTCTCGAAGCGATTGTTTGGATGCAAAAATTGGAAAAAATTTAATTCGGTTCAAATTTTTTTTATGACGGATGAAAGTTTCGGAGGCAGTGTGTCAATACGATTCACTCAACGTGAGGTTGGATTTATTTTGTATAGTGCAAAAATTATGGACAGAAGTTTTGCATTTAGTGTGCAATAATTGCATAGAAATAAATGCAAAAAGGGAACAGGCATCCCGTGGACAAATGAAATGGATTATGTGATGCGTTTGCTGCGGAAGTGCAGAATTTTACATCATTTGCGTCTTCCGCATTTGGTGTGAACCTACCCAGCAGGCACACTACATCATAAGACAGCAATATTAGGTTAGATTTAGGTCGTGACATCAGGTGACCAAAATTGAATGTCTAAAATTCAACGTTATTTTGATGTCCAGGAACGATGTCAGATGACACTGATATTTGGTTGATTTTAGGTTGTGTTGAAAAGCCAAAATCCAACATCTGATAGATGTCATAGAGGTAACGTCCGCACATCGTCAAGCTGCAACATGATTAGACGTTGATTTTTGATTGATTTTAGGTTGATTTAAGGTTGGACATTGACCTAATGTTGGGTTCTGATGTCAACCCGATTTTCATTTCCAAACAAAATTCAACGTCCCCATGTCATTGGGGTACATTGGGGTACAATGTCAACATGACGTCATATTGATGTCCTGTGCCTGCAGGGCAAATCAGAAAGGAGGAAATCGCCATGAGGCAAAAAAAAACTCCACACAACCACACTGTACCTGAAGTTTTGGAAAATCTTCACCTTGGTCAAAGTTTTCAGGAATATTTAGTGTTTACAATTGGACAGCAACTGTTTGATCAGCTTTTCAGATGGAGTATATATAGGAGGTTCCAAAAAGTGACGCTCATGGCTGGTTTTGTGATCCAGTGTCACATTTGGCGAAAAAAAAAATGAAAAAAAAATGTCTTGATGATTTAAACCAGGGATCACCAAACTTGTTCCTGGAGAGCCGGTGTCCTGCAGATTTTAGCTCCAACAATAATCAAACACACCTGAACAAGCTAATCAAGGTCTTACTAGGTGTACTTGAAACATCCAGGCAGGTGTGTTGAGGCAAGTTGGAGCTAAACCCTGCAGGGACAGCGGCCCACCAGGACAGACTGCAAGTTGAGCGCCCCCTTCAGGCTTCACTAACACCACTTCCAACAGCAACCTAGCTTTCCCATGTGATCTCCCATCCAGGTACTGATCAGGCTCAGCCCTGCTTGGCTGGGTAATCGGTCTTGGGCTGCAGGGTGATATAGCTGTGACCAGGGTCACATTTGGTAAAAAAGGTTTGATGTCTTGATGATTTGAGGGCGTTTACAGGAGGTGTTGCTCTCTCTCTCTGCGCAGCTCGGCCCAGCTTTGTGATCCAGCCGCAGAACACTGAGGTTCTGGTGGGCGAGAGCGTGACTCTAGAGTGCAGCGCCACTGGTCAGCCACAGCCGCGTGTCACCTGGACACGAGGAGATCAGTCTGCGCTGCCTGTAGACCCGCGCATCAACATCACACCTTCAGGAGGACTCTTCATCCAAAACATCCACCAGGCAGACGGAGGACAGTACACCTGCTTCGCCAGCAACAACGTGGACACCATCCACGCCAACGCTTACATCATAGTGCAGGGTGAGAGATCAAGCTGACACACAAACACCATAAATATATATATAAATATAAATATCAGTGCAAAACATAAAGAAATATTTGTCAAAAATGAATAATATATAAAAATAGCCACTTTAAAATGTAAAATTCAGAAACATTGTTTTAAATAAAAGAGCGCTTAAGCCTCTAATTCGAAGAAGAAGAACTGACTCTAGGTTTGCAGTGTTAAGCAAAGCTAGTGGGCATATTTCTCATTCAGAAACACGAGATTGAATCGACTTATGGTTTCAAATACTCGCTGATACCGATGGCAGAATTTTTGCAGTGTCTTTGCGATACTAGTATTGATATCGGAACAACCCTAAATACCCTAATTCATACATACATTAATTCATTCATTCATTTTCTTTTTGGCTTAGTCCCTTCATTAATCAGGGGTTCCCACAGCGGAATGAACCGCCAACTTATCCAGCATATGTTTTACGCAGCAGATGCATTTCCAGCCGCAACTCAACACTGGGAAACACCCATACACTCTTGCATTCACACACACACACACACTACTGACAATTTGGAATGTGGGGGAAAGCGCAGCACCCAAAGGAAACCCACGCCAACACGGGGAGAACATGCAAACTTTACACAGAAATGGCAACTGACCCAGCCGGGGCTCGAACCAGCGTCCTGAGGCGATTGTGCTACCCACTGTGCCACCGTGACACCTAATTCATTCATTTAAAACTGTAATCCTGGAGTTTTCTTAAAAACGGTCCTGCCGTTATCAGCACACAATCAAGAAGTTCAAGGCCACAAAGGATCCACTGGTTTCCTTCATTACCTGCAAAACAAAGGACGCATTTGAAGGAACCGTCAAATTATTTTGAAATGAGACTGTATTTGTTAAGCTGCTATGACGCAGAGCCCTTCAAATGCATTCTTTGGAGGATGCAGAGCCTCTGAAATGAGACACAGCGACTGACAAACACTTTAAGACTCACAGGTTTGGTTTGGTTTTAGGGTTACGGTTTCAGTTATGATTAAGAGGACTGTGTAGGACAGATTTTTCAGTCCCACTCCCGCAAAAATATACAGTATGGAAAATAAGTATTGAACACGTCAGCATTTTTCTCAGAAAACCCATTTCTAAAGGTGCTGTTGACTTGAAATTTTCCCCAGATGTTGGAAACCACCAAAGAAATCCATAGAAAACACATCTAATTTGTTTACAAATGAAGTTATGTGTAATAAAATGAGATGACGCAGGGAAAAAGTGTTGAACACATGAAGAAAGGGAGGTGTAGTTGGGCAGTGAAAGCCCAGACAGCAGCTGAAATCTCTCAGTAGTTCTTCAGCACCCCTCTGCCCTTCCTCAGTAAATGAATATCAGCTAAAAGTAGTAAAATTAGTCAATTAATATTTCAAATTGAATCTAAGTGGTTCAGTATTTTATTGAGTATCGCAGCTTATCATCGTGCCTGCTGTATGAATATATAAAATAAGTGTTTTGTTTTAATTTTACGTGCCTGTTTGAGATGTATGATCAGTTGTGTGTGTGTGTGTTGTCCTCAGCTCGTCCTCAGTTCACCGTGACTCCTCAGGATCAGTCGGTGCTGGAGGGTCAAACGGTGGATTTTCCCTGCGAGGCAAGCGGTTTCCCTCAGCCCGTCATCGCCTGGACACGCGGAGGTGAGATCGCACAATCACACGCTTCTGCTTCACACTCTTTTCAACTCTGTTTGTGGTGAACTGATTTCTTTTGTCTTTGCCATGATGACAGCACATAATATTAGACTAGATATTCTTCAAGACACTAGTATTCAGCTTAAAGTGACATGTAAAGGCTTCACTAGGGTAATTAGGGTAAAGTTAGGGTAATTAGGCAAGTCATTGTATAACAGTGGTTTGTTCTGGAGACAATCCAACACTAATATTGCTGAAGGGGCGAATAATATTGACCTTAAATGGCTTTAAAACAATTAAAAACTGCTTTTATTGTAGCCCAAATAAAACAAATAAGACTTTCTCCAGGAGAAAAAATATTAGAGGAAACACTGTGAACAATTCCTTAATCTGTTCAACATCATTTGGGAAATATTTAAAGAAAGAAATCCACAGGAGGGCAAATTTTAAGGAATTTCAAGGATTTAATAACAAACATGCATAAATAAGTGCTGACAGACAGACAAGCTCCGTATGAAAAACTGATCCCAGATCAGCTTCTGTACACGGCATTTAAAATGACACCTCTGATATCAAACAAGTGAGGAGCAGCAAATGAATCTCTCTATTGTTTTGCTTGATAACAGAGGTGTCCCTGTAAAGCCTGGTTTATACTGGTTTATACTATACTGCGTCAAGTGACCGGCGTAACCCAAGTAACCCACGGCGCATACAACGCCTGTAGCTGTGCATTTATACTTCTGCTGCTGTCTCTGTTGGTCTGCATTAACACTTCTGATACGCTAGTGGGCAGTGAGGTGTAAATGTTTCTATGTGTCGAGTTTCTTCTCTGCTGTTTTGCTTTTCCTGAACACTTCCGGGATGTACAAGTGGCTCAAACTCGCTCATTTTGAGGCAGGAACCGGCGGACGTGCAACAACTTTAACTATGAGGTAAACACAAAACAAAACTTTCCATCCAGAGCTCCTTCACAGGACTCCACACTTGTAAACAATCGCTCCATCAGGCTCGCACCATTCGCGCAGCTCTCGCTCCCGCCCAAACTCGTCAGCGCTACCAAGCCGACCAATCACAGAGCTTACGCTACACGTCGTTGCTTCGTGTAGTTTGCGTTTTTGTAGTTGTACAATTTTTGAGAGGTGCACGTCAGCGACGCCGATGGCCACGGCGAAGGGCTATGCGTCAGCGCCGTAGCATACGCCGGCCTTTGACACAGAAGTATAAATCAGCCTTAAGAATGCCCAGGGGTCCGTTCTTCATACGTGGATTACTCAGTTAGCTGGGTTTGGTTATGGATGATATGACACGATCCAGGATCGTTTTGTTCTTCAAACTTTTCCGAAAGTTGTTGTCATAGCAACAGTTCTGGTAGCTCAAACCTGCTCGGGAGCAGGCTCATTTCTGATCTGGGATCAGTTTATCATAGGGAGCCCATCCGTCAGTCAGCGCTTATACATGCATTCACTGATTCAGAGGTTGCATATGAAGGCAGATGATCGACCCACAGCTTTGATGGAAAGAAAGCGAATGCAGACATTTTGACTGTATATTAATTTCAGTGTGCTTTCAAGATTAAAAATATTGGAGAAATATGGGGAAATACTTAATGATGGGATGATAAATGGATAGAATGGTAAAATACAGGAGAATCCTGGGAAAAAACAAGAGGGTTGACATGTATGAAGTGAACAGGAAGTGTTTGTCAAACAACAGATTTGTGAGGGAACACAAACAATTAAATATATATATATATATATACATCACTGTTTTTTCCTCTCTCACCAATTGTTTTTTCTTCCACTCATTTTTTCACGTCCCTTCCTGGGGCTTCATGTATCAACGCTGCGTACGCCAGGTTTCACGCTCAGAATCGCTCACGTTTGGATTTACTAACGATGAACTGAACGTGGGAATGTGCGCAGGTTCACGGCAGCTTTATGGCTGGTGTACGCACATTTTTTGTGCGTGTCTGTTTGATTTCCATTGGCGACTCCTAGAGGCAGTTGTGTTAAATTCCTCTCTACAAAGTGTCTGAGCCTTGCAATGGCAGCTGTATGAGATGGGTTCATCTAGCAGGTATATAAGGTTTCCATACCATACAGTTGACCAGCTAAACATTAAAGCACAATTTGCAGCGGTCGCCTGTTTTCCCAATGTAATCTGAGCGATCTACTGCACACACATTGCTATAAAGACAATATCTGAAGATGAATTTGCATGCGTGAATCAGAAACATTTTCATTCAATAAATGTGCAAATAAAATAGGATGCACAGACTTATTAATAATTCCTACTTGTATTTCTCGTGATAAAAAGTTGGCAAAATCTGATATGTAGCGGGGGAAAAAGAAGAGAGAGTTGCTCGAACATGTCAAAACATGTTGACATGCGTTTTATGAGCTGCGCCACTGAGACTGTTAAGGGTACTGCAACATTTTACACCTATAAATCACACTATTTCTTTTCTAATTCACTCAGTGCGATGTTCAGATCTAACTGTGTTAACCGCATCAGCTAAACTCTCCCACTCTATTTTTTTCTTTTGTTGTTAATTCCGGAGGACAAACTTGCAAATAACACCGCTTTTCTCCCTTCTACCTCCGAAAGCAGCACCTCCAATTCACATTCTGTTCAAAGTTTCTCCTCTTGCTTGCTTTTGCCGTTGCTTTTTCGTTGGGTTTTGCCATTAGCATAGTCATTAGCATATTCATACGGGGGAGGAGGCAGGGAGGGGTTTTGTGCTTGTGCATGTTGCGCTCAGTTTCACGTTCATTCAGATGTACAAAAGAATATGCGTGAGATTCGGCGTACGCAGTGTTTCATACATCTGAATTTTTTTCTGCGTACGCACATTTACAGCTTTTTTGCGTACGCAATGTTTTAGTAAGATTTCCACGCAAGTCTTCGTACATGAGGCCCCAGGTCTCTGTACACATCTAAGCAAACAACCCTATCGCTATCGTTTTTCATGGAAAGGTTGACATTTGCTCCAAAAAATCTCAAAATCTCTGTTTTCCTCCCACAGGTAGTCCTTTGCCCAATGACAGACGGCATGTGGTGCTGTCGACGGGCAGCCTGCGGATCAGCCGCGTGGCTCTTCATGACCAGGGCCAGTACGAGTGCCAGGCGGTCAGTCCTGTGGGCACTGCCAGAGCCGCTGTCCACCTCAACATCCTGCAGAGCGGTGAGATCCTGCTCATTTCAGCATGATAAAGCGGCAGCGTGCCAAACCATACACAGTGATGCTATAGATTTTAACAAGGCATCTTTACAAATTAAAGGCGGCACAGAAACCAAACCTAAAGTGGCATAAAACCACAAACAATGTGCATTTATACAGATCCTTTAATGTGGTGCTTTAATACAGGTGCCTTTTTAAAATAACTAGTAAAACGTTTACAATTGTTTTAACAAAAACATCTGCTATTTAATATTAAATAACAAATATAAGTCATTCTAGTCGTTCGACTTTGAATAAAACAGGAAAACAAATATTCCCCAAATATTCTTCTATTACGTTACACTCATTGGCCACTTTATTAGGTACACCTCACTAGTACTGGGTTGGACTCCTTTTTCCTTCAGAACTGCCTTAATCCTTCATGGCAGAGATTCAACAAGCTACTGGAAATATTCCTTAGAGATTTTCCTCCTTATTGACATGATAGCATCACACAGTTGCTGCAGATTTGTCGGCTGCACATCAATGATGCCAATCTCCCGTTCCACCACATCCCAAAACTGCTCTATTGGATTGAGATCTGGTGACTGTGGAGGCCATTTGAGTACAGTGAACTCATTGTCATGTTCAAGAAACCAGTCTGAGATGATTCAGACTTTATGACATGGTGTGTTATCCTGCTGGAAGTAGCCATCAGTAGATGGAGACACTGTGCTCATAAAGGGATGGACAAGGTCAGCAGCAATACTCAGGTAGGCTGTGGTGTTGACACGATGCTGAATTGGTACTAATGAGTGTGCCAAGAAAATCTCCCCCACACCATTACACCACCACCAGCCTAAACCGCAGATACAAGGCAGGATGGACACATGATTTCATGTTGTTGATGCCAAATTCTGACCCGAGCATCCGAATGTGTCAGCAGAAATGGAGACTCATCAGAGCAGCAACGTTTCTCCAATCTTCTATTGTCCAGTTTTGGTGAGTCTGTGTGAATTGTAGCCTCAGTTTCCTGTTCTTAGCTGACAGGAGCGGCACCCGGTGTGGTCTTCTGCTGCTGTAGCCCATCCGCCTCAAGGTTGGACGTGTTGTGTGTTCAGACATGCTCTTCTGCAGAGCTCGGTTGTAACGAGTGCTTATTTGACTTACTCTTGCCTTTCTATCAGCTGGAACCAGTCTGGCCATTCTCCTCTGACCTCTGGCATCAACAAGGCATTTGCGCCCACAGAACTGCCGCTCACTGGATATTTCCTCTTTGTCGGAGCATTCTCTGTAAACCCTAGAGATGGTTGTGCGTGAAAATCCCAGTAGATCAGCCGTTTCTGAAATACTCCGAGCAGCCCATCTGGCTCCAACAAAAATGCCACGTTCAAAGTCTCTTAAATCCCCTTTCTTCCCCATTCTGATGCTCACTTTAAACTGCAGCAGATCGTCTTGACCTTGTCTACATGCCTAAGTGCATTGAGTTGCTGCCATGTGATTGGCTGATTAGAAATTTGCGTTAACAAGCAGTTGGACAGGTGTACCTAATAAAGTGGCCGGTTAGTATTTTAAAATATTGTTTATTTAATTATGTTAAATGGTTTCATTTTTATTTAATTGAATATTTTTATTCTCTTTTTTACATTAGTATTAGGTTTTATCTTTAGTTCTAAAATCTGATTTACATATATTTAAATCTATTTACACACAAACACACACACACACATGCACAAACAGTGCAGTGATGTCATCCATCAGATACAAACTCCATATTTGCACATAGAGACACAGCCTCACTTTAACTACATGTTTGTACACACACACACACACACACACACACACGTTTTTTGTTCTATGATGTCATTCATCAAACATAAACACTTTGCATCATTCCTGATGTGAAAATGTTTAGGACACAGCCTCACGTTACTTCAAGTTTCAATAATATGACCCAATTATATGCTGTTTTTCTTCATATTCTGAATTGGATTACAACTAGCTGAAGCAAATTAAGGTTGTGCTTATGTTATAATACAAATAAAGAAAATTAGCCTCGCATTACACCGGCCACAAATGTATGTAATTCAGCACAGCACAAAGCAACACCATCCGATTTCTCATTCAGCGGCCCTTTCAGAACAAGACCAGACACGGTGCTAACAGGAGAGACCGGCTTCATAAACTAATTTGTCATTTACTCGCGAGCAAAAAGCCTTCAATTAGAGCAACAATAGCCCTGTAAAGACTCAATGACAGACGCAAGACCAGCTCCCTGCCTTAAAACCGCCTCTTAAGCTTTATTACAGACTTGCGGAAGAGCCAGCAAACATGCCGCTTTGAAATTCCCACATGGCGAGAGCTTTTCCATGTAGTAATGCTTGTTAACACACTGCATAACAACCGCCTGTATTTACTTTAAACCAAGGCACAGGTTTGGCTCAGAGTCGCTCTTATTTACAGCAGGATTACTGGAACTTTCTGAAGAAATGGGGAGAGTTTACAAAGAGCAAGTTGAGGGAAATACATAGGCAGTGGCGCAGTAGGTAGTGCTGTCGCCTCACAGCAAGAAGGTCGCTGGTTCGAACCTCGGCTCAGTTGGCGTTTCTGTGTGGAGTTTGCATGTTCTCCCTGCCTTCGCGTGAGTTTCTTCCGGGTGCTCCGGTTTCCCCCACAGTCCAAAGACATGCGGTACAGGTGAATTGGGTAGGCTAAATTGTCCGTAGCGTATGGGTGTGTGAAATGTGTGTGGATGTTCCCCAGAGATGGGTTGCGGCTGGAAGGGCATCCGCTGGATAAATTGGCGGTTCATTCCGCTGTGGCGACCCCGGATAAATAAAGGGACTAAGCCAAGAAAATGAATGAATAAATGAATGAACTCATAGATATCATCTATATACTATATAACTGAAATAAAAAATAGCTAATAAAGCTATTAGTTACTAGTTAGTTAGTTAAAGTAATTAATAAAGTGGTGGCACAGTGGGTAGCACGTTCGCCTCATAGCAAGAAGGTCACTGGGTCGAATCTCGGCTGGGTCGGTTGGCATTTCTGTATGGAGTTTGCATGTTCTCCCCGTCCAAAAGACATGTGGTACATGTGAATTTGGTATGCTAAAGTTGCCCTGAGTGTGTATGTGTTTGACAGAGATGGGTTGTAGCTGGAAGGGCATCCACTGCGTAAAACATGCTGGAAAAGTTGGCGGTTCATTCCACTGTGGCGATCCCAGATTAATAAAGGGACTAAGCCGAAAAGAAAATGAATGAATCCTGTGGTGTTTAGTGTGCTGGTTTGCACACCCAAGCTCCATTCTGAGGACGGTGTTTTGAAGATGAATTGGAGGGGTTACATACAGTGCCACTGTAGATTTCACAGAATCTATGAAAATGCGAATCATTTTAAAACAAAAAAAGAGAGAACATACAAAATACGTGTAGTTTATTTTAGTTTTTAGTACAGATGAGGGTAATACATTTTTACATAAAAGAAGTTTAAATGTAGTTTACAACCCGAAAAATGGTTCAAATAACCCCCTGCAAACTTTGTGAACCCTCGGTTCTTGCATTATGAGCCAGGGGTGAAAACTTCAGCAATTTTCAGATCAAGGTTAATTGTACCTAATTTGTCTTTAATAACTTAATAACAAACAATAATATTACAAAAACAAAATGTAAAAATTGGACATCGTCATCCCGGTTAAAAGTTTTCACCCCCGGCTCTTAATCCTTCTAGAGTAAGGGGTGTGCAAACTTGGCCCTGGAGGGCCAGTGTCCTCCTGAGTTTAGCTCTAACTTCAACACACCTGCCAGGAAGTTTCTAATATATCGGTCCCACTTTATATTGTGGCCTTAACTAATATGTACTTACACAGTAGTTAATAATTTTTACAATGTGCTTATTGTGTAAATGCATGTATTTACTGTGTACTTATGCTTGATTAAATACATGTATGCAATTACATCTGTAATTAACTTTTGTAATTACATTTGTAAATACACTGTTGACCATCCCTTACACCTTAACCCACCCTTAAACCTACCCATGCCACCAAACCTGTCCATAACCCAACCTCTATCCCAACTCAAAAGCACCACAAGTGTTCTCAAATACATTATAAACACAGTAAGTACATTGTATTTATTTTTTGACGTAAGTACATAGTAGTTAAGGACACTTAATATAAAGTGGGACCATATATCTTGTAAGAACTTGATTAGCTGGTTCAGGTGTGTTTGATTAGGGTTGGAGCTAAAATCTACAGGACACCGAAGTCCAAGTGTGGACACCCCAAGTCTAGAGCATCAGCGAGTGGTTGAACCTGTTTTAGTAGTCGTGTTTAAGTCTCTCACTTCTGCTCAGTGTGAAAAGATGAACCTGAAATCATCCAGTCTCTGTTGGAAAGAGCTCAAATCTGCAGAAGATGCTGGAAAACGGGGGAATCTGCAGGACATGGAGGATATTAATGAACAACAGCAGCAGTTTAACAGTTCACAGCAAACAAGAGATCCATGAACACCCATCAGAAAGCAGAAAAACACTGGGAGATCATCAGGAAAACACACACTGCTAAAAACCAGGGTTCACAAACTTTTGCACAGGGGCTATTTTAACAGTTTCAGCTTTGTTTTAGTCCTGTGAACATCTTAAATGCAAAATATTAATTCATTCATTCATTTTCTTGTCGGCTTAGTCCCTTTATTAATCCGGGGTCACCACACATTCACACACACACTCATACACTACGGACAATTTAGCCTATACCCAATTCACCTGTACCGCAGGTGTTTGGACTGTGAGGGAAACCAGAGCACTCGGAGGAAACCCACGCGAAGGCAGGGAGAACATGCAAACTCCACACAGAAATGCCAACTGAGCTGAAGTTTGAACCAGCGACCTTCTTGCTGTGAGGCGACAGCACTACCTACTGCACCACTGCTTCGCAAATGCAAAATATCTTAGTACAAAATAAAAAAAATGACATGCATCTCTTTTATTTGGTTAAAATTATTGACATTTTCACAGATTCTGCAAGAGGTCGCAAATTTTCTAAGGGCACTGCATGTAAAACAAATCTCATTTTGTCTCACAGAGAAAAGAAATCGAGGGTGAGCAAATGACTGCAAAATGACTGTTCCTTTAAGTTCTGACATTTCTTAGCACTTGCTAGAGGTACATCTAGATGACTCCAAAACAGCTGTAAAGCGGCTGATTATGGACCTAGACAAGCATGTCATGACTTCCTCAAAGGTCTTCTCAGCTTTCAGAATAAGATGTTTATATAAAGCTCTTTAAACACACTGGCCTTGAGCACTCACAAACGCCTCGTTCCTTGACATCATAATTACAGAAACCTTGACGATTTCAGGACGGCGTATGACCCTGTGCATGCTCTTTTCATGTTGCATGACTTTCTGCACGGCTGTAATCACTAACACATGTCTTTGCGTCATCAGTAACGCCTGTTTTCACGAGCGCTCCAAGGGATTTGACGGTGGAGTCTGGATCAGATGTCCAGATTCCGTGCAGCGCTCAGGGTGAACCCACACCTATCATCACATGGAGCAAGGTTAGACCCCCACACATTTCCCTATAATCCATCTATTTCCATTCCAATGGGACTTTTTCTGGGTTTAATAATCTCTGATCTACAGGATGGAGTCCAGATTACAGAGAGTGGGAAGTTCCACATCAATCCAGATGGCTATCTGGAAGTGCATGATGTGGGCTTGGCCGATGGGGGCCGATACGAGTGTGTAGCCCGCAACTCCATTGGATATTCCTCATCTAGCATGGTGCTAACAGTGCAAGGTAAGAACTGATGGAGCAAAACAAAGCATTTAGGATTTGTAGGGTGAGTGGACAGTGTCAGAAACTACCCTTGGTTTTAAACAAGCCGCATCATCCTGCTCTCTCTTGTTAAACCAATACGGAAGTAACTGAAGCTGCAATTTAACGAAATTCTGCTAGGCCTGGATTCAAAATAGAGCACATTTCTGTTGACCTCTATGTTAAAATGGCCAACACTGTGTTTGTAATCTAGCAGCAACCTCCCACTCTTTGTTGTAAACCTATAACAGGAGTAATTAAAAATGCAGTTCATCGACTGGCCACTGGGGGCTGGCTCCAAAACAGAGCACATTTCTATTGACCCCAATGTTAAAATGGCCAACTTTACAGCAGAAAAATAGGTGTTTACAGCCTGGTACAGAAAATATTTTGGTGTATACAGCTAATATGATCCTTTATGACAACTGTGAGGGGGTGAAATGTTTTATAACTCATCCATTTTATTTATATCAAGCTTTAAAAACCTGTATAATTAAGGACAGGGTCACTTGAGTGACCGCTAGGTCTCTGCTGCTCCCCGTCATGTCACCTCGGCTGATTCCAGGCACTGAGCTCAGCATATATATCAGATTTTTGCTTTTGTTTTGTGTAGCTGTACACAGTCAGCTGTCTTTTGGGATTATTTTGACAACATGCAACCTCCTGCTCGCTCTAAACTAAGAGTTTGCAATCCTCGTGGCTCGCCGCTATCCATATTTCATGTTTCTTTTATTGCTTCAGAGGTTTGTTCAATTTGATCGTAACATTGTGTTTGTAACCAAGCAGCAACCTCCCACTCTTTGTTGTAAAACTATTACGGAAGTAATCGACACTGCAATTCATCAACTGGCCACCAGGGGCTGGCTCCAAAACAGAGCATATTTCTATTGACCTCAATGCTAAAATGGCCAACTTTACTGTAGAAAAATATGTTTACAGCCTGCTACAGAAAATATTTTGGTGTATAGCTAATATTAGCCTTCATGACAACTGTGAAGGGATACATTTTTTCATCAGTTTAATTTATTTTAGGTCTGCATAGTTAAGTGCGTGGCCACTTGCTCACAGTCATGTCACCTCAGCTGATTCCAGGCACTGAGCTCAGCATATATATCAAATTTTTTTGCTTTTGTTTTGTGTGGCTGTACACAGTCAATGGCCTTTTGGGATTATTTTGACAACAAAACCTCCTGTTCACTCTGCATTTAATCTAAACTAGCGGTTCTCAATCCTCGTGTCTCAGCGCTATCAATATTTTTTGTTTGTTTTATTTGAACGTAACACTGTGTTTGTAACCAAGCAGCAACCTTCCACTCTTTGTTGTAAAACGGATGAAAAGGAAGAAACTGCAACTGCAATTCATTGACTTGCCACTAGGGGCTGGCTCCAAAAACAGAGCAAATTTCTATTGGCTTCATTGTTAAAATGCCCAACTTTACTGCAGAAAATAGGTGTTTACAGGCTGGTACAAAAAAGATTTTGGTGTATACAGCTAATATGATCCTTCATGACAACTGTGAGGGGGTGAAATGTTTTATAACTGTGAGGGGGGGGGGGGGGGGGGGGGAATGTTTTATAAGTTATCTGTTTTTATTTATATTAAGTCTACATAATTAAGGGCGTGGCACTTAAGTGACCGCTAGGTCTCGCTGGTCGCGTCACGTCAGCTCAGCTAATTCTGGCTTATTCCAGCCGCTGAATTCGGCATATACATCGTATTTTTGTTTTGTTTTATGTGGCTTTTCGCAGTCTGTTACCTCTTGGGATTATTCTAGAGAATTTTCTAGAGAATAAACAAAACATAGTCTTGTAGTCTTGTTTACAGAAAAAATTTAGTCAAAATTAAGTTTTTCCTTAAAACAAGCAAAGCTATTTTAATTTTGCTTGCTCAATTGGCTGATTAGTTTGCCTGTTTTACAGATAAACCTGTTTAATTTATTGAAAACAGGACAATATTTTACTCGTCTATAAAATGCATCTTTATTTAAGAATTTTTAGATGTTCAGACTAGTAAGAAAAGCATTTTTGCCATGAACATACCTTACATTGTGACAACTGAACAATCTGAATCAAGTATTTCAGTAATAAGACGTCAGAAGCTAATGAAAGGAGCTCATGTTGTTTTCTCATCACTTATACAGATTAAAACATGCTAGTGTTCATTCACACTGATGTCTGTAGTCCCGCAGGTGAGCCGCGAAGGTGATCCGTTCGTCTCCACGTCTCTTGAAGAGGCCATCCGGAGCATAAACAGCGCTATAGACTCCACCCGGAGGCAGCTTTTTGACGGGTGAGCCATGAAAACAGTTCCTTCTGCTGTGAGTCACGATGCTGTAACCCTGCAGGAATTCACTGGGAGTGTTTAGGGGCTGCGGCGGAATCCCGAACTTAGCGCTAGACTAAGACCCTGTGTGTGAAGGTTGATGTTGGGGGTTATTTTGTACCTTCAGGTCAGTGTGTTTCATAGATGGGGAGGGTTGTGTTAAAGTCTGCATAAACAATTTGTTTTGTTCATATTGTGTTTCTAAAGAAATTGAATATTAAATGAGAAAACAGTGGGCGTGGCTTGTTTTTTCTACTGCGACCTGATTGGATAAAGTAGGTATTTCATTCAGAAATATGGGGAAAAGGGTTTGGGGAGAGTTATTACAACCTTACAGACTCCTCCTGCTCAACGATATCAAAATGTCTGTATAAAAGTGTCTTGAAGAATATCTAGTCTAATATTATTTACTGTCATCATGGCAAAGATAAAATAAATCAGTTATTAGAAATGAGTTATTACAACTATTATGATTAGAAATGTGTAGAAAACAAATTCTTTCTGATAAACCGAAATTGGGGGAAAAAAAAACTTCAGACTTCAACTGTATGTATGCATTATTATAATAATAATTATTATAATATATATATATATATATATATATATATATATATATATATATATATATATATATATATATATATAAGTATAATTATTATAATAATTATAATAATTAATTATTATAATAATAATTATTATTATAAGAATTATTTTAAGTAAATATATATATATATATATATATATATATATATATATATATATATATATATATATATATAAATATCTATAAAACTATAAAAAGTACAGTATACAGCTATATTTTGCTTGTTTTGACACATTAAAAATTTGTGGCTAAGAAATAATTATTGTTTCGTGTGGTTATAGAAATAGATTTGGTACATAGTTAATTTTGAGATCTAAAAAAAATCATGTAAAAATAAAAACTAATTGCAATATTACACTATGAAACCACAACTCATTTGCTCATGCTCCTTGAGCAAGCTCCTACTCGATACACAAAAAGTGAAATAAATGAGGAGGCATGTGGACATAACACAAAATTTAAATCAAGTAATTTTAGCATGTCAACGTCAAATTTATGCATATAAAATATATTTTCCCAACAACAAAATTGTGGCTAGTGAAAATGCAGAGTGGCTAGTAACATTGGAAAACTACTAGCCACAGTGGCCGGTGATTAATTATAAGTATAATAATTATTAATTATAAGTTAATGTAAAGCCCTGTATGTGTGTATATATATATATATTCTTTCATTTTCTTGTCAGCTTAGTCCCTTTATTAATCCGGGGTCACCACAGCGGAATGAACCGCTAACTTATCCAGCAAGTTTTTATGCAGCAGATGCCCTTCCAACCGCAACCCATCTCTGGGAAATATATATATATTATTTTCACTTAATATTTTGATTTATTCTGTCTATCATTAGATATCCCTGCTGATGTCCTATTTGAATTTTCATTCCAAAATGGCTGCCGCGTGACACTAGCGGCAACTAGTGTCTGTTTCCCAAATAGCAACACAGTGTCGCCTCTTGGTGATTCTATGCTCTTTGATTTAACTGAAAACAAACCGGAAGTGAATTTTCAGATTTCTATTAAAGATTACAAGAGAAAACGTTTTTTTAATGACATGCACAGATGAATTGTTAACCACAAAACTAGCAATGTGAGCTAACAACATCAATATGGTTAGTTTTGATTTCATGTGTTCTTTAAAGACAAATACTTTCCGTCTAAGATATAATGTTGTCTTCGTAAAGAGAGACTAGATTGCGTACAAAGGGAGAATGTCAATCAAAGTGTTTCTGCAGACTGTTTTTATTAAGTCTGATTATAAACAATACAATTAATAATTGTTTACCATTAGAAGCTGCTTATATTCACACTCTGCTGACACACTACTGTGTTTAAACTCCTTATAAAAGTGATTTTGGTGTAATAGTTCCCCTTCAAAACATGCTTATTGATTACAGATTTTTATTAGATTTAATTTTTTGGCACAAATAACCTCAGATCTATGTCTTTAACCTGGTGCAGTTCACGAGAGATAACATGGGAAGTGAAGCCAGCTCTCTGAAGGCTACACATGATGTTAACGCTGCAAACTTTGGCGCAAATGCTTGCTGTTGACTTTGGCCGAGCACTTACTCTTTGTTTCATCTGGGTTTCTCAAATAAACACTGATAACGCTTATTTATTTGCAGTTACTCTGGCAGAGCTTAAGCAGCTGAAGCCAGGGGCTCAAGCTGTTATGTGTGTTTAGCTTTGTGAGATAACTTTTTGTCTTTTAAGGTGACGTAGTTGCAGTGTATTTCAGACAAAATGTGTCAAAAATAATATGTAACAGAGTGCACACAAATTTCTCATTTAAATTTATACTTTTAATAGGAGCTTATACAACAGTTCTGTCTGGTTCTTGAATCTGATTGGCTGATAGCTGTGCTATATTCTGCAATATCAGCACTCGTACAGCCTCTTCACCCTTGTGTATTACTCCGCCTTCATAGGGTGACAGCAGATCAATAAACTCACTACAGTTTGACAAATATTGCAGCTGTTGGACAACATAATGTACTGTTGAGGCTTTTTAGGCAGAATGTAGTTGTCTAGATTGCAACTATGCAGTTTATTTATAAGAATAGTGCCTATTTTAAAGATCTATAATTTTGGAGAGTCAGCACATTGGCGGCCATCAGCCTGTCATACTGAGCAGTGCAAAGATGGTTGTGCAATAGAGAAATACTGGGAAATCTCTGTAGACTGATGGTATTTCATGCCGTTCAGCCTTATCATTTTAAAATGTGAGCGAAATCAGCTGTTTTTGTCAATACTTTAGACATTACGCTAGAGAATCATTTAAACACTAGCTCTAAAGTGACAATGGTGAAGTAGTAACGGCTTCTGCTGTTCTGATGTCAGCTGCAGATGTGAATAAACGGCGGAAGAAAGTAGTTCCTCATACAAAAGGGTTTTAGACTCTCTGTGTTTGATTATCTTTTTTTATATACAAGATTGTGCCGTTGAACTGTTGTATAAACACAATTTTACACTTGTAGCAGTGTGATATGGCTGTATATTGGCACTGGTTGGACACCAAGGCACTCAGCCTGCGGCCTCGAGTCATACAGCACTGCTACATGCGTGATATTGCTCATGTATACATTAGTTTAGTCAGTACTGAAGCAAAACCTGGAGCTAATCTAACAAAAAAACTCATATATTTGGGTGTGCTAATTTTGGACTGTTGTCATATGTTGGGGAAAAATATTAAATAAAAAATGACAAAAAGAGCAGAATTCAAGAAACAGATAAAAAAATAGTTTGCAATTTGTTTTTCTGATATTTTGCATAAATTTAAATATATTATCTTTCTGTTTTTAAAGATGTTCAATGACTTTAATATTTTTTAATAAATATTCATTTCTTTTAATATCCATTTAATAAATCAGTTTTGTTCAAGTGAACCAAAATATATGACCTATAAAGGATAAACATTCATTTTTATACTAACATACATACATTCATTCACATGCATAAATACTGTGTATTTCAGTATTTTAAATGCGATTATTCGCGATTAATTTTTTTTTAAAGGTGCGATTAATTAGTAAAAAATTTTATCGGTTGACAGCACAAATATATATATATATATATATATATATATATATATATATATATATATATATATATATATATATATATATATATATATACACAGTTGAAGTCAGAATTATTCACCCCCCTTTGATTTTTTTTTTTTTTTTTTTTTATCTGTTTTATTTCGGCTTTAATAAAAGCAGCTTTTAATTTTTTTTAAACCATTTTAAGAACAAAATTATTAGCCCCTTTAAGCAAATTTTTTGATAGTCTACAGAACAAACCATCATTATACAATAACCTGCCTAATTACACTAACCTGCCTAGTTACCCTAATTAATCTAGTTAAGCCTTTAAATGTCACTTTAAGCTGTATAGAAGTGTCTTGAAGAATATCTAGTCTATTAGTATTTACTGTCATCATGGCAAAATATATATATAAATGTCATTAAAAGTGACAATAAGGGCTGTAAAAGCTGCTTTAGGATGGCCTGAAATGTATAAAAGAGAGCTTCAGTGGAGAAAAACAAACTGTTATCCAAGTTGCCCAAAGTATGGGAGCACATTATATGAACAAATCTGAACATATTGTTGTGTGCAAATGTGGCCCAGTCAACCTTATATCAGATGGGCTTTTCACCAGGACATAGTTTCAGTATTACTGTGATAATCTGTCATTGGTTTAACAGAGTGTGTTTCTCCAGACCTTAATTGCGCATTGTGTTTTAGTGTTTTTTTTATTAATCTGGTGATTTAAGGCAGGATGCTGCAGGGTGTTTTTTCACACACTGTTTGAGATTTTAGGCTGTTTGGCTTTTTATTGTTCAGACGAGTGGAAAGAAAATACCACAAATACCCTTTTATTTTACTGTGCTTTATTTTTGACTTGTTTTAAAGAAACCCTTGATTCATTTTGACTTGTTTTTTTTTTTTCACAAACGTTTTTCCTTGTCTCAAAAATGCGTCTTGATTTCATTTAACAATTCTTTTGTTATTTGTACTAGTAAGAAACTTCCCTTTCTTTTTGCTCTATCCAACTCTACTAGATGCCAGTGAATTTTGGAGCTTGTTCAAACACACACAAGGCTTCTGAATTCTACACAAAGACCCTTTAATTGATTCATTAAATTAAATAATAAGCCTGTTAGACTTTAGGTTACTCTAAATGTGTCTTGTTTACCCGTTCTCCATCATCATCAGGTCTCCTCGTACCCCCGCTGAGCTCCTGGCTCTGTTTCGGTACCCGCGGGACCCCTACACAGTGGAGCAGGCCCGAGCTGGAGAGATCTTTGAGCAGACCCTTCTTCTCATTCAGAGGCACGTCAACCAGGGGCTCATGGTGGACACCAACGGGACAGGTATCTGCAGCGCTATGTATTTCTGCCACTATACATGCTAAGATGCTATATTAGTAGTGTAACTATACACATTGGACAATATATGCAAAGTTGCATGGTGTTTGCTTAATTAAAGGTGCCATAGATTAAATAGGTTCAATATGTTACATTTTTCTGTGATATTTACATAATAAGTGCAAAAAATGATCCAGAATCAGTGTTATATGCTCATTTATGCCCCTATAATGAAAAGAGTGTGTTTGACCATATAAGGAAGGGTTATGAATATTAATGAGCTCTGCAGTGATGCTCCGCAGCTTCTGTAGATTCCATGTTAAATTACTATGTTTTCGACATTTAGCTAGGAGTGAATGAAAGAAAATAAAACTAACTTTACTTAAAGCTCCTAAATTGAGTCGTGAATGAAATATCGAATATTGAATAAAAATCGACAAATAGAGGCTGACAGAGTTATATTTTGCAGTTTGAACATATATGAAAACAGAGGCAGGAATTACAATCAACTTCTTTTTAAACAGATCAAGTTTATTGACGTCGTTTCACTCTAGAAAGACCACAGTAAGAGCTGAGTGATATGACACGATGCATAAACGTGCATTAAACACTTATGCTTAGCAGTTTACATGTGTTTGTTGCCTCATTACAAACATACCTGACACATTTCAGCATACACGCATTACATTAACAAAAGATACCATTAAACAGACCTTATGCATCTTCAGGGTGGTGCTAAATAAATTTATAATCTGTATATCCTGCATTTTGCTTCCTGATGCTGCGTTCACACCAGACGCAGATCGCGCGTCAAGTGCGAGTGATTTACATGGTAAGTCAATGCAAACACGCAAATAGACATCCTGCGACGCGATACTTGCGAATGGCGCGAAACGAATGACGCAAAATATGTGAATGGCGCGGTGTGAATGGCGCGATACGCACGAATGGTGTGGCGCAAGTTGAGCGTTTTGCGCGTTTGATGAGCTTAACGCATTTTGTGCGAAACACTTGGGTTTAAAAATCTGAACTTCAGCGGACATTCTCGCCACGTTAACCAATCAGGAGCTTGCTCTTGTGGGGGTGTGATTATGAAGTATCGCCTGTTGTAGCTGTCCCGGGGGAAATCCTCCAGCCGACACGCGACAAAATGTTCATCAAACAGGGCTCGGCCATTTAGCAATGAAGCTAAAGTCACCGGGCAGACAGAAGCCCTGCCCCTCACGCGAATCCGCGTCTGTTCTGAAGTGAATTTGACGCACGAATGAAGCGGGGTTTGACGCGCAAATGAAGCGGGGTTTGACGCGCGAAAGAAGCGTGCAAACTCAAATGTTCATGCGGCTATTTACGCACGATTTATCCGCGCGTTCCACGTCTGTTGTGAACGCAGCATAACAAGCTGTAAAGAGTAGAGACGCATGGCTGCTGGTTTCAAAATAAGAGTTTCACATACATGGTAAGTATAATATAAGCTTAGATAAACGTATAAATAAGGAAAAAGTCTGCATTGTTGTAATCTTACTAGGAAATATTGTGGCCAATCAAACCCAACATGGGGCGTGCATATTAATGATCCAGTGTGCAATGCTTTTACCTGGTTTTTACTCTCACATGATTTACATGTGAATGCAGAAACAATAGTGTTAATGGTATGTTATTTTCATGTACTGAACTCATTACTCAACTATCCGGAGGTACTGAATATCCAGATTTTCCTTCTATGGCATCTTCAAAATGCAGATCTGGTACTAAATGTGTTTGCTTTATTAAATTGTCAGCAGACACTGCGGTGCTTTGTGCTCACTGTTTGTTCTGGTTATGACAACAGCACAGCTTTCATTGCCACACTATGGCAAAATGGCCCCACCTGTTTGGACAAGCTTTGTCCCAATCTGAGCATTTACCCTCTGGACACATTCACTGACATACCAAGAAGAGGTCGACACAACTCCATTAATCCAGACACTATTACCTGAGTTATTTGACCGCTATCCTCATGAAATGTTGTTCACTTTGCTATGAATATACTTTAAAATAATTGATTTAAGTGGGATTAAATCAATATGATTATATGTAGTGGAATTATACACATATATATATATATATATATATATATATATATATATATATATATATATATATATATATATATATATATATATATATATATATATATATATTTATATATATATAGTTGGAACCAGAAGTTTAAATACACTGTATAAAAAGGCACATAACGATTTAAAATAAGTCCAATGTTAATGTGACCAAACGTTTTCTCTTTTGGGTAAGTTTGGATTATCAAATGCGTTTCTGTTCTGTTTAATAGCAGAATAATAAGAGATATTGTAATATAGAAATTGTTATAACTTTTCTTGTAGGTCAAGTTTACATACAAAAAGATTATTCTGCCTTTGGAGAAGCTCAGATTATGATGTCAAGGTTTTGGAAGTTTCTGATTGGCTAATTAACAACATTTGAGTTAATGTGAGGCGCAACTGTAGAACAGTATTTAAGGGAAGGCTCAAACACACTGCTTTCTTGTGTGACAACATGGGAAAATCAACAAGCCAGAATTAACAAGCCAGAATCAACATATATATATATATATATATATATATATATATATATATATATATATATATATATATATATATATATATATATATATATATATATATATATATATAAAACAGTATAAAATATAAACACACACACATACTTGTATATATGTATAAATGTAAAGTGCATATAGAAAATCATACCCTGTAAAAATCTATACCTATATACTGGCATTACTCCCTGCTTTTAAAAGACCTTTGAGATAAAGTTGTAGTAAGGCACAGGTTAAAACATTTCAATGGGTGGAAAAGTTATTTGTAATCTGATTAGATTTCAGGCTGTATGACAAATAAAGCCATTATTATCAAAAGAGTATCCTGTAGGCACTGTGTGCATGTTTGGTATTTTACTTGTATAAAGCGCAACAAAATTGTAATAAATATTTATATAGATGAAATCTAATCTGACTGATTTCCTGTTAACTTTTTATTCACAGCCTACCGCTACAATGATTTGGTGTCTCCACGGTTCCTGGATATGATCGCTAATTTGTCAGGCTGCACAGCCCATCGGCGCATTAACAATTGCTCGGATATCTGCTTCCACCAGAAGTATCGTACCCACGACGGCACTTGCAACAACCTGCAGCACCCCATGTGGGGAGCGTCTCTCACTCCCTTTGAGCGCTTGCTAAAGCCCGTCTACGACAATGGCTTCAATCTCCCCCGCGGCACCACTGAACGATGGCACAACGGCTACCCCCTGCCACTTCCTCGCCTGGTCTCAACCACCATGATCGGCACCGAGACCATCACGCCAGACGACCGCTACACTCACATGCTAATGCAGTGGGGACAGTTCTTAGACCATGATCTAGACTCAACCGTTGTGTCCCTAAGCCAGTCCCGTTTCTCCGACGGACAGCTGTGCACCTCAGTGTGCACCAATGACCCCCCTTGTTTTCCCATTATGTTCCCACCCAATGACCCACGGCAGCGGCGCAATGGGGCACGCTGCATGTTCTTTGTGCGCTCCAGTCCCGTTTGTGGCAGCGGAATGACTTCTTTACTCATGAACTCAGTGTACCCGCGTGAGCAAATGAACCAGCTTACTTCCTACATCGATGCATCCAATGTTTACGGCAGCTCGCAGCACGAGGCTGAAGAGATCCGTGATTTAGCCAGCCATAGAGGCATGCTGCGGCAAGGGATTGTTCAACGAACTGGAAAACCACTGCTCCCGTTTGCCACCGGGCCACCAACAGAGTGCATGCGGGATGAAAATGAGAGTCCCATTCCTTGCTTCCTAGCCGGTGACCATCGTGCTAATGAGCAGCTCGGGTTGACGGCAATGCATACGGTGTGGTTGCGTGAACATAACCGCATTGCAAGCGAGCTGCTTCGCCTTAACCCCCATTGGGATGGCGACACCATTTACCATGAGGCGCGGAAGATAGTCGGAGCCCAGATGCAGCATATAACCTACAACCAATGGCTGCCTAAAATACTGGGTGAGGCTGGCATGAGGATAATGGGCGATTATACCGGATACAATCCTAATATAAATGCTGGCATCCTCAACGCTTTCGCTACCGCGGCCTTCCGTTTTGGCCATACGCTCATTAACCCAATTCTGTATCGACTTGATGAAAACTTCCAGCCCATCCAGCAAGGGCACATCTCACTGCACAAGGCTTTCTTCTCCCCCTTCCGTATTGTAAACGAAGGAGGCATCGACCCATTGCTTCGTGGCTTGTTCGGAGTGGCAGGGAAAATGCGAATGTCAACTCAACTGCTAAACACCGAACTAACCGAACGGCTTTTCTCGATGGCACATGCGGTGGCACTTGACCTTGCAGCGATGAATATCCAAAGGGGCCGTGACCACGGTATACCATCCTATAATGACTACCGCGTGTTCTGCAACCTCACGTCCGCACAAACCTTTGAGGATCTGAAGAATGAGATCCAGAACCCCAGTGTGCGGGAGAAGCTTCAAAGGTTAGCATCAAACAGATCTGATGAGATTTTAATGCCATTTGTTCTGGGGGTAATATTCTGATCCTCTCCAGGCTTTATGGCACACCTCTGAATGTGGATTTGTTTCCTGCACTGATGGCCGAAGAGCTGGTGCCTGGCAGCAGACTGGGACCAACTCTAATGTGTTTACTGGCAACACAGTTCAAGCGTCTGAGAGATGGCGACCGGTAAGGCTCTATTCCACACGACACCTTTTGTTGTTCCTCTACAGCAGGGGTCACCAATCCTGGTCCTGGAGGTCCGGTGCCCTGCAGGGTTTAGCTCCAACTTGCCTCAACACACCCACCTGGATATTTCAAGAATACCTAGTAAGACCTTGATTAGCTTGTTCAGGTGTGTTTGATTATTGTTGGAGCTAAAATCTGCAGGACACCGGACCTCCAGGAACAAGTTTGGTGACGACTGCTCTACAGTTGTAAGGGAATTTTTAAAGGGATGGTTCACCCAAAAACTTACTCAACTCACACTCAAGTGGTTCCAAACATTTAGGAGTGATGATGATCATAAAAGAAGATATTTTGATGAACTGAAAGCCGGTAAACATTGGCTTCCATAGTAGTAAAAACAAATATAGAAGTCAATTGTTACAGGTTTCCAGCTGTCTTCAAAATATCTTCATTTGTGCTTGTCAGACTTTAATGTCATCGCGTGAAGTTTACAAACGAATTCCAAGAGGAGCACATGATATGATTCATCGCAGCTGGTGTCTCATCTGTAATCATTAGTAAGCCAATCGGATCATTCCAAATTTACTATAAAAAGCCTGACTAGCATTACTCCCTCATCCTTATTTTTTGAAGAATCCCCCCTTCCACCCCATCTCCACCTTTCCTCCTTTACCAGGGGGAGCTCTCAAGAACAACCTGATCTCGTACCCCCTCACATGCTCATTGACTAGATGGAAGCCGTGGGCTCAACTATGTCCGAGCTCAGGGTTCCCTCCCAAGACAGCAATATCTAAAGACTGATTTATACTTCTGCGTCAAGCGCATGTGTATGCTACGGCGCAGCCTACGCATTGATGCATAGCCCAGTGCCATGGTCTTCGGCGTCGCTGATGTGCACCTCTCAAAAGTTTAAGACACTTGTACATTAAGGAAGCGTTCAGAAAAAATAAAACACCAGGGAAGAAACTCGACACAGAGGAACATTTACACCTCACTGCCAACTAGTGTTTCGGAAGGGTTATTGCAGATCAACAGAAACAGCAGCAGAAGTATAAATGCACAGCTATGCGTGTTGCATGCGCTGTGGGTCACGGCAGAAGATTAAACCAGGCTTAAGTGTGAACTCTTGAAACAAATTTAAATATTAGTAAAAAAACAAAGTTAAAGTCCTGACCCGAATCCAATTGAGATTCATTTTTGGGTCAAAGAGGTAGTTTACCCAAAACTAAACATTTTAACCACCCCTGATGTGGCTCCCTGCAGCCTAGGCAAAATGAAATGTAGGGTATATATTGCACACAATTTTCTTTATTATATTTTTTCAATATCAGAAATGCAAAATAAATTATATCTATTTTAATGTGTTTTTTAATTATATTGCAGGTTTTGGTATGAGAACCCGGGCTCCTTCAGTCCTGCACAGTTGACCCAACTGAAGCAGACGTCTCTATCCCGGGTGCTGTGTGATAATGGTGACAACATCACCCGCATTCAATCAGATGCCTTCAGTGTGGCCGACCTCCCTCACGGTTATGGAAGCTGTGCCGATTTACCAAAGATTGACCTCCGCATGTGGCAGGACTGCTGTGAAGGTACAAAACTACACTGTGGCATGATTTTCTGAAAGAAATGAAATCGATTAAGGGGCGAACAGTTTTTCACACCACTGTATTTGAAAAGTACAAGGTTTACTTATGGTGTGTTTTTCAGTATGGAAAAACAAGTGAATGGTCCACAATGTGTTTTGTGCTGAAACTTTACAGGCACGCCTCAAATTATATTACATCTTGTAAAAACACTAACACACGGCATTCATCTGTGTTGTGTTTCCTCCTTCAAATAAAATCTCTTGCACATGCAGATTGCCGCACTAAAGGTCAGTTCAACGCTCTATCGTTTCACTTCAGAGGTCGGAGGTCAGCAGAGCACAGCTATGCAGAAGAGAAAAAACCTGCCAACAACCTCACAGAAAACAGCAGGTGAACTAATGCTCCCTATTACAGTCAATCTGCCTATCTGCCTTACAGTTTACTAACATTAGTTAACTAAATGAATTAACACTAAAAGATTACTTATAGTAAATTGTGGGTACATTTCAGGCATTTTTCATTCATTTTCCTTAAACTGGAATCATAACAAATTTACAATAAACTGAGTCCATTGTTGCAAAATAATGCTAAAAGAGTTGACGACAACAGAGTTGAGTTGACAAGTTGACAGTAACAGAGCAACAGAGTTGGCATTAACAGAGTTGAGTTGATGGTAGCAGAGCAACAAAGCTAATGGTAGCAGAGTTTGCAGTAGCAGAGTTTAGTTGACAGTAGCAGAGTTGACGGTAGCAGAGTTGAGTTGATGGTAACAGTTGACGGTAACAGAGCAACAGAGTTGACAATAGCAGATTGAGTTGACAGTAACAGTTGATGGTAGCAGAGTTGAGTTGAGCAACTGTTGATATTAGCAGAGTTGACGATTGCAGAGTTGACGATAGCAGAGTTGAGTTGGCGTAGCAGTGTTGACGGTGATAGAGTTGAGTTAACGATAACAGAGTTAAGTTGACTGTAACAGGGTTGATTTGACAGTAGCAGAGTTGATGGTAACAGAGTAACAGAGTTGAGCTGACAGTAGCAGGGTTATGTTGACGGTAGCAGAGTTGATTTGACGGTAACGGAGTTGAGTTAACGATAACAGAGTTGAGTTGACGGTAGCAGAGTTGATTTGACGTAACAGAGTTGAGTTAACGATAACAGAGTTGAGTTGACGGTAACAGAGTTGATTTGACGGTAACAAAGTTTATGGTAACAGAGTAACAGAGTTGAGTTGATGGTAATAGTGTTGAGTTGATGGTAACAGAGTTGAGTTGACAGTAGCAGAGTTGATTTGACGGTTGATTTGACAGCAGCAGAGTTGACTGTAACAGAGTAACTGAGTTGAGTTGACGGTAACTGAGTTGAGTTGACGGTAAAAGAGTTGAGTTAACGGTAACAGGGTTTAGTTGACGTTTACAGAGTTGAGTTGACAGAAACAGTTGAGTTGACGGTAACAGAGTAACAGAGTTGAGTTGACAGCAGCAGAGTTGATTTGACGGTAACAGAGTTGAGTTAACGATAACAGAGTTGAGTTGACGGTAACAGAGTTGAGTTGACGGTCACAGAGTTGAGTTGACAGTAGCAGAGTTGAGTTGACGGTAACAGAGTTGAGTTAACGATAACAGAGTTGAGTTGACGGTAACAGAGTTGAGTTGACGGTAGCAGAGTTGAGTTGACGGTAACAGAGTTGATTTGACGGTAACAGAGTTTATGGTAACAGAGTAACTGAGTTGAGTTGACAGTAACTGAGTTGAGTTGACGGTAAAAGAGTTGAGTTAACGGTAACAGGGTTTAGTTGACGTTTACAGAGTTGAGTTGACAGAAACAGTTGAGTTGACGGTAACAGAGTAACAGAGTTAAGTTGACAGCAGCAGAGTTGATTTGACGGTAACAGAGTTGAGTTAACGATAACAGAGTTGAGTTGACGGTAACAGAGTTGAGTTGACGGTAGCAGAGTTGAGTTGACGGTAACAGAGTTGAGTTAACGATAACAGAGTTGAGTTGACGGTAACAGAGTTGAGTTGACGGTAGCAGAGTTGAGTTGACGGTAACAGAGTTGATTTGACGGTAACAGAGTTTATGGTAACAGAGTAACAGAGTTGAGTTGATGGTAATAGTGTTGAGTTGATGGTAACAGAGTTGAGTTGACAGTAGCAGAGTTGATTTGACGGTTGATTTGACGGCAGCAGAGTTGACTGTAACAGAGTAACTGAGTTGAGTTGACGGTAACTGAGTTGAGTTGACGGTAAAAGAGTTGAGTTAATGGTAACAGGGTTTAGTTGACGTTTACAGAGTTGAGTTGACAGAAACAGTTGAGTTGACGGTAACAGAGTAACAGAGTTGAGTTGACAGCAGCAGAGTTGATTTGACGGTAACAGAGTTGAGTTAACGATAACAGAGTTGAGTTGACGGTAACAGAGTTGAGTTGACGGTAACAGAGTTGAGTTGACGGTCACAGAGTTGAGTTGACAGTAGCAGAGTTGAGTTGACGGTAACAGAGTTGAGTTAACGATAACAGAGTTGAGTTGACGGTAACAGAGTTGAGTTGACGGTAGCAGAGTTGAGTTGACGGTAACAGAGTTGATTTGACGGTAACAGAGTTTATGGTAACAGAGTAACTGAGTTGAGTTGACAGTAACTGAGTTGAGTTGACGGTAAAAGAGTTGAGTTAACGGTAACAGGGTTTAGTTGACGTTTACAGAGTTGAGTTGACAGAAACAGTTGAGTTGACGGTAACAGAGTAACAGAGTTGAGTTGACAGCAGCAGAGTTGATTTGACGGTAACAGAGTTGAGTTAACGATAACAGAGTTGAGTTGAAAGTAGCAGAGTTGAGTTGACGGTAGCAGAGTTGATTTGACGGTAACAGAGTTGAGTTAACTATAACAGAGTTGAGTTGACGGTAGCAGAGTTGAGTTGACGGTCACAGAGTTGATTTGACGGTAACAGAGTTGAGTTAACTATAACAGAGTTGAGTTGACGGTAGCAGAGTTGAGTTGACGGTAGCAGAGTTGAGTTGACGGTAACAGTGTTGATGGTAATAGAGTAACAGAATTGAGTTTATGGTAGCAGAGTTGATTTGACGATAACAGAGTTGGGCTAACGGTAACAGAGTTGAGTTGACAGTAACAGGGTTGAGTTGACAGTAGCAGAGTAACAGAGTTGAGCTGATGGTAACAGAGCTGATAGTAACAGCATTAACTGTAACAGAGTTGAGTTGACTGTAACAGAGTAGCAAAGTGGATAGTTGCAGAGTTGACAGTAAACAGAGTTGAGTTGACACTAGCTGAGTTGAGTTGATGTTAAATAGTTGATGAAATGCATTGCAGTTCTTTTTGTTTTTCAGCACTTTGGAAGATGCTGCAGTAAACATAACTGTGTCGCCAAAGTCAAGTACTGAACCCTCCGCTAAGGATTTCCAGGACTTTGTAACAGACATGCAGAAAACCATCACAAGTTTACGAAAACAGGTCAGGACACACAAATCACCTGCTATACTGATAATACTGTTCAATATAAATGTCACTGAGCACTTCATTTAAACTGAACTGAAACAGCGTAAACAAATATTTACAAAAAGTCTTCAATTGCAAAAGGATTAGAATAGTACACTTTACAATAAGCTGTCATTAGTAAACAGTATTAATTACAGTAAAATAACCAGTGAGAAATAACCACTATTTGGCCAAATACCCATTAACCAAATAATCCATATTTTTTTATATTATTTTATTATTATTTATAATTATTTTATAATTGATGAGTAGGCCGTAAAAATCGATTAGTGACAGCAGTGTCATTTTAGTTTGTTTGCTTTGCTGAGAGTGTTCTCGCTTGGGCTCAATCTATGGTCTAGTGCAGCTTTATTACAGCTTTATTCCTTCACTGTGGTCTCATTTGTTAAGCAAGTTGGTGCTTGCAGAACTGCCTTGTTGTGCAGAGAGACACCGGCCTGACCTGCAGATGCACGTGTGTTGCCCAAGGCTTCGAGGGCACAGCAGGTTTCCTCAAAATATCCCTGCTTGTGCATGTAGAGCCTAGGATAATATCCTTGGTCTTGATCTGTAGATGTTGGTACCCGATTACATACTCTAAGCCAGTTCTCCTCCACCCTACCACACAGTAATCCACCTACTTATCCTCATACTGGCGAATGAGTTGGGGTATAATCTGACAGGGATGCTTTTTTCGTGACCATCACCAAGTAAACTTTGTAAATGCGGGACCATTATTAAGTTTGTGTGGGACAATGTGGGACATTACCAACACTAAAACATAACCTGAAACTGCGTCTAACTTAATAAAAATATGCCTCATTAGATTGTTTATGTCCTTTATATCCTTCCAGAAAACACGATTACAACACATTTCAGTATAATGCCTTTAGTTTACATGTCATATCAGTTCACACAATCGCCCGCTCCACATTTTAGACCTCCGACTGTCAAATAAGTGAAGCAGACAACACCATAATTGAATAAAAGGCAAGAACGCATGTATGTTTACTTTAATACAACAATTAAACCAAAATAACTGATGCAAACATGGGATATTTTCACAATATTTGAAGTGCTGGATAAAATACTGTGCTTTACAATGAAAAATGGAGTTGGTTGTCAACCTACCAGCTTTCGAATATTTATTCTATTTATTTATTCGATTTTTGAGATCGATAAATGGCTTTTCGAGTAAACTTGATGTTTTTCTCTGTGGGAATGCTCAGATTAAAAGACTTGAAGGGCGCGTGAGCAGGACAGACTGTGCAGATGAGGACGGGAGAGAGCGGGCAGATGGAGAAAGCTGGAGGAAAAACCCCTGCACCATGTGTCAGTGTAAAGTAAGTCCATCACTGCTTACAAAAAATAGCTCAAACGCTTGATGCAAATGCCAAATGTGCATACATTTTTTTTTAAATACACATAAAAAACCACAGTTGTCATACGTTTACATACCCTGACCATTTTCAGAAAATACCTTGGAATGTTGCGACTGACCAATCAGAATTGAGTATTCCAGATAATAATCTGTGATAATGACCACCTATATGTTACTTGTCTCAGTGTTTGTGTATCTCTTATCTGTTTTAGGCAGCGCAGGTGACGTGTTTTGTGGAGAAGTGTGCGCCGGCCGTGTGTGAGACGTCTGTGACGCCCAGTGGCTCGTGTTGCCCCGTCTGCCTCAACCAACCCACAGCAGCATGAGCAAAACCCTCAGGACACCAAACCCCACACACCTGCGTTTCTTACACACTTCTGTTTCAGGGTTTTCTGTTGTTTGTCATGTATTGATATTTCCGTTCGCATATCCTCAGACGCCTGCGGCAAAGAACCAAAAACACACTGTCTTCAAAAGTGATGACTGCGGGACCCTGTTTTTTCATCCTCAGGCCTGATACCCAGGAGATAATTACCCAAGTGTTCATTTACAAGACCAGCGATGAGGGGCGACTGCGGTCCTGAGGGACGTTTTCCTGCAACACACAGCGCAAAAACCCAACCAAAGTCTTCAGCGATACTTGAAACCTTCAGGCAGGTGCATTTAAAAAAAGGATTGAAGATTTAGTTTGCATGTAAACTTCCATCCATTTGGGTTACCTTGCTTTGGTTTTAGTTCATGGATTTAGAGACGAACTTAGCCACTTATGTTTTTTACCTCAATGAATGGCTATGCAGACTTGCATTTAATTTTCATTCAGTCAAAAACACAAAGCCAACAGAAATGAAACCAGTTGAATGGAGCAAACACTAACCTACATATTAATCATTCACAATCTATGTTGGGATGCTGTTTTAGTTCTAGAAAACCATTTGTATTATTTTTAGCTGAATCGCTTAATTTGCCAAACAGTCAAAAGTGCAAAGCAGACATGCTGATGGAGTATGCACTAACCTGCACATTATTCAGACACTAGATGGGAACAAACAGTCAAAAACACAAAGCTGACAGAGACTAAAACAGCGGATGGAGTATGCACTAACCTGCACATTATTCAGACACTAGATGGCGCCAAACAATCAAAAGCAAAAAGCTGATAGAAACAGCTGATGGAGTATACACTAACCCGTGCATTATTTGGACGCAAGATGGCGCCAAACAGTCATAAACAAAGCTGACAGAAACGAAAACAGCTGATGGAGTATACACTAACCTGCGCATTATTCAGACACAAGATGGCGCCAAACAGTCAAAAACACAAAGCTGACAGAAACAGCTGATGGAGTATACACTAACCTGCACCTTATTCAGACACTAGATGATGCCAAACAATCAAAAGCACAAAGCTGACAGAAACAGCTGATGGAGTATACACTAACCTGCACATTATTCAGACACTAGATGGTGCCAAACAGTCAAAAACACAAACCTGACAGAAACAGCTGATGGAGTATACACTAACCTGCACATTATTCAGACACTAGATGGCGCCAAACAATCAAAAGCAAAAAGCTGACAGAAACAGCTGATGGAGTATACACTAACCCGTGCATTATTTGGACGCAAGATGGCGCCAAACAGTCATAAACAAAGCTGACAGAAACGAAAACAGCTGATGGAGTATGCACTAACCTGCGCATTATTCAGACACAAGATGGCGCCAAACAGTCAAAAACACAAAGCTGACAGAAACAGCTGATGGAGTATACACTAACCTGCACATTATTCAGACACTAGATGGCGCCAAACAGTCAAAAACACAAAGCTGACAGAAACAGCTGATGGAGTATACACTAACCCGCGCATTATTTGGACGCAAGATGGCGCCAAGCAGTCATAAACAAAGCTGACAGAAACGAAAACAGCTGATGGAGTATGCACTAACCTGCGCATTATTCAGACACAAGATGGCGCCAAACAGTCAAAAACACAAAGCTGACAGAAACAGCTGATGGAGTATACACTAACCTGCACATTATTCAGACACTAGATGGCGCCAAACAATCAAAAGCACAAAGCTGACAGAAACAGCTGATGGAGTATACACTAACCTGCACATTATTTAGACACTAGATGGCGCCAAACAATCAAAAGCACAAAGCTGACAGAAACAGCTGATGGAGTATACACTAACCTGCACATTATTCAGACACTAGATGGCGCCAAACAATCAAAAGCACAAAGCTGACAGAAACAGCTGATGGAGTATACACTAACCTGCACATTATTCAGACACTAGATGGCGCCAAACAGTCAAAAACACAAAGCTGACAGAAACAGCTGATGGAGTATACACTAACCCGCGCATTATTTGGACGCAAGATGGCGCCAAGCAGTCATAAACAAAGCTGACAGAAACGAAAACAGCTGATGGAGTATGCACTAACCTGCGCATTATTCAGACACAAGATGGCGCCAAACAGTCAAAAACACAAAGCTGACAGAAACAGCTGATGGAGTATACACTAACCTGCACATTATTCAGACACTAGATGGCGCCAAACAATCAAAAGCACAAAGCTGACAGAAACAGCTGATGGAGTATACACTAACCTGCACATTATTTAGACACTAGATGGCGCCAAACAATCAAAAGCACAAAGCTGACAGAAACGAAAACAGCTGATGGAGTATACACTAACCTGCACCTAATTCAGACACAAGATGGCGCCAAACAGTCATAAACAAAGCTGACAGAAACGAAAACAGCTGATGGAGTATACACTAACCTGCACCTTATTCAGACACAAGATGGCGCCACACAGTCAAAAACACAAACCTGACAGAAACAGCTGATGGAGTATACACTAACCTGCACATTATTCAGACACTAGATGGCGCCAAACAATCAAAAGCACAAAGCTGACAGAAACAGCTGATGGAGTATACACTAACCCGTGAATTATTTGGACGCAAGATGGCGCCGAACAGTCATAAACAAAGCTGACAGAAACAGCTGATGGAGTATACACTAACCCGTGAATTATTTGGACGCAAGATGGCGCCGAACAGTCATAAACAAAGCTGACAGAAATGAAAACAGCTGATGGAGTATACACTAACCTGCACCTTATTCAGACACAAGATGGCGCCACACAGTCAAAAACACAAAACTGACAGAAACAGCTGATGGAGTATACACTAACCTGTGCATTATTCAGACACTAGATGGCTCCAAACAATCCCAAACACAAACCTGACAGAAACAGCTGATGGAGTATACGCTAACCTGCGCATTATTCTGACACAAGATAGTGCCAAACAGTCCCAAACACAAAGCTGACAGAGATTAAAACAGCTGATGAAGTATACACTAACCTGTGCATTATTCAGACACAAGATGGCGACAAACAGTCCCAAACACAAAGCTGACAGAAACAGTTGGAGTATACACTAACCTGTGCATTATTCAGACACAAGATGGCGTCAAACATCACAGACTGAGATAAGCGGTGTAATCCAAATGGATGAAAATGCTACATGCAACTCAAGTAACTCCTAAATTTAGCCGTAGCTATGATTTGAAGTGTGTGTGTGTGTTTGTGTTCGTAATGCAGTTGAATTCAGCAGGACATCTCAGCAGGACCAGAGCGTCTCATTTTCTGCTGGTTTTGGTGGAAGAAGCATTCTCAGGTTTGGAGATGCTAAAGAACTGGTGCTATCAATTATTATTTTCATTATTTTTGTTTTTAACCCGGGTGTTATTTCGTGCATTTGAATCGTTCTGCGATAAGCAATACAGTATATACACTCATTATGTGCTTTTAAAAACCACATCTGAGCGAAATCCTGTCGTCGCGTATAGTATATCGTTACTCCCGTGCTTTTGCTTTGTGTATGGTGCGTAGGATCAGCAATAGTTTCCGCTTTATCTTCTCTTCCTCTCATGTGGAGAAAAATGTGAATTAAACAATCTGTGCGATGATGATGGGGGGGGGGACTCTACTGATCAGCGAATGTTTGTTTCCCTCTGGCGACTGCGGGTTTTCTGAGAGCTGGTGTTCTCTGCTTCATCTCCACAGAAAGCTGTAATGATGTCTTTGGTTTGGGGTGAAGCGTTTGGGAAGACGTCTCTTTTTAAGGCGTTATCGTATTTCTCTGTTCTACCAGCACAGTATTGATCACGAATGAAGGTCCTGATGTTTCCTTTTGTTTGGAAACAACATAAACGCTCGAGCCTCGTCACTCCTTCACTTCCGACACTCACCCAGTGTTAACTTTGGGGATACTTGGAAATGTTTTTTAATCTGGTTTCATTAATGAACCTTTTTTTGAGGAGTCACTAGAGAATACTGTATCATTTAAGAGTTAATAAGAGTTAATCGGACCACATGTTTCTTCATTGTTTTATGTTCTACTTTTTCTACACAGTATTTGTCACATTTGACTTTCAGTTTTTCAGGATTCACTAATTTAATATTCTGTCAAACCAGAGAAAATCATGATGTTAGGCCTATCAAGACTGCATTTATCCATGCAAAAACATTGTGATATGCATTTGTAGTCGAATAGATTCTAAGAGGCTAGTTCTGCTCTTCAGAAATCATTGTGAAATGCTGATTTAGTTTAGTGCTATTGAAAGGATAGTTCACACAAAACTGAAAATTCTGTCATCATTTACTCTTAACTTGCTTCTTTCTTTTGTTGAACAGTAAAGGAGATATTTTGAAGAATGCTGGAAACTTGTAATTATTGACTTCTATTGTATTTGTTTTTCCTGACATGGAAGTCAACGATTAGGGCTTTTTTGAAAGGCCTTCCTTTGTGTTTAACAGAAGAAAGAAAAGTTTTTAACCACTTGAAGGTGTGTAAATGTTTAGGTGAATTATCCCAGCAGGTATAGGACATCAACATGACGTCAGATTAATGTTGTACCCCAATGTCATTGCTTTTTGTTTGGAAATGAAAATCGGGTTGACATGGGAACCCAACTTCAGGTCAACGTCAGTGTTAAACCGAAAATCAACCAAATATCAACATCTGATAAAATTATAGCTTGATGTTTTGTGAACGTTATCACTATGACGTCTATCAGACGATTGGTTGCCATACCTGACAGATGAATGTCAGCATTTGACATCAATATGACGTTGGTTTAAGATGTTGGCTGAATGTTGAATACGTTTGACATTACTTTCCAACCTAAAAATATCAACGCCATTATTGGACGTCAAAATAACATTGTCCATAGATGGCTAGACATTGAATTTTGGTCACCAGATGTCACCACCTGAATCTAACCTAATATTACCATCTTATGAGGTTGTGTGCCTGCTGGGATTC